CGGCGACGGCGACGGCGACGGCGACGGCGACGAGGACGACGGCGACGAGGACGACGGCGACGAGGACGACGACGGAAGACAGAAGGCGGACGACGGACAACGGAAGACGGAAGGCGGACGACGGACAACGGAAGACGGACGACGACGACGACGACGATGCCGACGACGACGACGACGACGGCGACGACGACAACGACGAAGACGACGACGATTAATACGATGACGGCGGCGACGGCGGCAACGGCGGCTGTAGCGGAGACCAAATGACGAACGACGACGACCACAGCCCAGCTGGCGAAGGGCGGCGACAACAACGATCTGCTGCCGCTGCTCGTCGCTGTCGTCGTCGTTGTCGTCGCCGGCCTCGGTCTTCTGCGCCACGAAGGGCAGAGGCACGTTGGGCGCGATGGGAGACTTCTTCAGCGTGGCCTCGAGGATGTTCTGCCTGGCCGGCAGGTCGGGCAGCGGGATGTAGATCAGCTGGTCAAGCCGGCCAGGCCGCAGCAGGGCCTCGTCGAGGAGCTCGGGGCGATTAGTGGCGCCGATGAAGAAGACGTTCTTCTTCACGCCCACGCCGTCGATCTCCGTCAGCAGCTGGTTCATGACGCGGTCTCCCGCGCCTCCCGCGTCTCCGCCGCCAGACCCACGCGCCACGCCCACCGAATCGAGCTCGTCGAAGAAAAGCACGCAAGGGGCCGCGGCCCTGGCCTTGTCGAAGACCTCCCGGACATTAGCCTCGGACTCGCCGAACCTGAAAAAAAAGCGCACAAACGCGCGGTGTTCCGCGCGGATTTCTTGGATCGACGCTGGAAGTCCCTCGATGCCGCGCGGGCCGCGACAGGGCGGCGCCCGAGGCGCCGCCAGGACGGTCCAGCGCGGATCCGAGAAATCCACGAGGACCTCCGAAAGTTTGCGTTTATGCCGATTTCTCTGCTTCGAGAGCCACATGGTGAGCAGCTCAGGGCCCTTGATGCTCACGAAGTTGGCCGAGCACTCGCTGGCCACGGCCTTGGCGAGCAGCGTCTTGCCGCATCCCGGGGGGCCGTAGAAGAGCACACCTCGGGAGGGCGTCATGCCGAACTTCTCGAACTTTTCTGGGTGGTCGATGGGGTACAAGATGGTCTCCTCGGGGGACGTCCACGACTGGGGCGGCGGCGGCGACGGCGGCGACGACAAGGGCACCTGCGGCGATCCTGGCAGATCCCTCAACTACACATACACGCCTCACTGGACGGTCGATGGGCTACTGGATGGCCTACTCGCCAAGGATAACACGTGCATCAGTCCTGGCCTGGGCCTGGCGCAGGTGGACAGTCGTTGTTTTTGTGATGTTGTTATCCTTTTTAGCGCGACCACCGATCCTGCAACGCACGCTTCGTGTCCTCCAGGCCGCCGATGTCGTCCCATTTGATGTTGGGCACCTCGACCACGGTCTCGCGCAGAGAGGACGGGTTGCACGCGCCCATGGCCACCTTGAAGTGCTCCTGCGTCACCGCCATGGAGTCGAGGATTTCGGCGTCGATCGTCTCCTCGCGGCCGAACAGACACCGCCCACGCCCAAATCCACCAACCCTAGGGAGAGGCGAGGAAGGGAGGCGGTGGCGACAGACACAAAGAGAGAAAAGGAAAGAGTCGAAGAGACGTCAGACTCGGGTTCAGGGATTCGGGTTGGCCTGACGGGGCCATCATGAAAATGAAAAGGCCCACTTTGAAACTTGACGCGAGCTCCCGTTGCAAACATCCCACGAAACCTGGACTGTCAACAAAATCCAGGACGCGCTCGTCAAAAAGCGTCGGCAAACCCGAGTTCTGACGGACTGGAGTCTTACATTTCCCCGAAAGAGGGAAAGAGGGAGAGAGAGAGTGTGAGAGAGAGAGAGAGAAAGAGAGCGAGACATACACAACTCCCACCAGCCATTTAGTGCGTGAGTGGTGTAGAGATTTTCCTCTTCCAACCCCCCGTCTTCCCCGTCCCCGATTAATGAACACCCCCTCCCCCAGCAGCCAACCAGGACCAATGCCAACCCCAGCCTTCCCTGCCTGACGGCGGGGGTGCCCACGCATCGCCTGCTGCGCGCAAGGCCACCATCCAGGCCGAAAACAATACAGCATGCACTTCTCGGCGAAATCTGGATCATGCGCGGGCACCCCGCGATCACTGCCCCGTAGTGTTTGACAAGGATCGCGGGGGTGCTGGCATATTGCCTGCTATGTGCAGGCCAACCAGACGCTATGATGGCCACCCCGCCGCGATTGCGAACTGGCTTTCGACAAGGGTGGTGGGAGCAGAGCGGTTTCCCGATGTACACTGCAACGTGCGAAGCGCACCTGGCACACACTGCGCGTGCCCTGGACGTGGCACACCTCGCGCGGCTGGAACATTCGGCACACACGGCGCACGTGGAGCACGTGGCTGCCCGCCTGGTGGCGCATCTGGCGCGCGAGGCGTGCCTGGCACGCTTGGGCCCCAATCTCGCCTGGCGCACCTGGAACGCCTGGCACGCGTGGCGCACCTCGCCCCATCGCGCACATGGGGTCTGTTTTGGTTCCCAGTAGCTGCCCATCCAAAAACAGCCGCTGAACATGCTGAGGCACGGGTGGGGAATGAGTGAGACAACGTGCGGGCGTGGAGGGTGTCTTGACCACTTTTCCCCATTGATAAACACCCCCTCCCCCACGCGACTGGCAGCCAACATGGACCAATGCGGGCACGCACCCCCCACACGATCCCTGTCAAAAAAAACATGTGAAGGCCACTCTGGGGCAAAACATTGGGTCATGATCGGGGGGGCGCGAACTCTCAGGGACGGTGAGAATGCCCTCACATTGCCTCCCGCGCGCAGGGCCAGCATCCCTGTCAAAAAACCATACAACATGCGCTGCGAAATGTGAGACATGCGCGGGCACCCCGCGATCACTGTCCATTTGTGTCTGGCAAGGACACCCAGGGTGCTGGCAGATTGCCTGCTATGTGCAGGCACACCAGACGCTATGGTGCCACCCCGCCACGATTGTGCACTGGCTTCCAAAGCCGGGGCCGACACGCTCCCGATGCGTATTGGCACGTGCTCGGGCGCACCTGGCCCATTGTGCGCGTGCCCTGAACGTGGCGCACCTGGCGCGACTGGAGCATGCGGCACACATCGCGCACGTGGGTCGCCTGGCGCTTCTGGCACACAAGATGAAGGTGCATGATGAAGATGGTGGTGCGTCATTCCAATGTGAAGGTACATGATGATGATGGCGGTGGTGATGGCGATGGTGATTCGGATGATGGTGATGGTGGTGATGATGATGTTGTTGATGATGATGATGATGACGATGGTGACGACAATGCGGGCGATGCTGATGATGATGATGATGATGATGAAGACGAAGATGATGTTGAGGATGACAAATACATGTTGTGACGATGGCGGTGGTGATGATGGCAGTGATGATGATGATGATGATGATGATTTTGCTGCTGATGATGATGATGCTGATGATGATGATGATGATGATGATGATGATGACCAGTACTGGCTGACGGGTCGGGGAGCGGGGCTCATCCACGCCGCGCTCAATTCCCGCGCGCAGGTGCTGGGGCCAGTCGAAGCCACCAAAGGGCGTTTTCCCGCTACCGGCACTGTTGTCTGAGGCAAGCAGGGCCGATTGCAAGCGTCCGCCGCGGAAACCCAGACGACCAAAGGACAACGGGCCCGCGGCGGTGCGCCAGGGCCTCTCACGGCCCAGGCCCGCGCCGCCGAGAATTCCGAGCCGAATCCAGCCGGCGAAGAGGGCGCCCGCAGGTCGCCCACACAGAAGGCGCGCAGGCCGAGGCCGCAGGAGCCACACTCCGCGCCCGCTGCGCGAAAGGGCCGTCGCCCGCCGGGCGGCCTCGCCGCGCCGCACGCGGCGGGGGGCGCGCGCGACCAAGGGCGGCGCGGCCGCCGTGCCGGGCGGCGGCAAGCCCGCGCCGAAGAGGGCGGACGGGGACTGCCATCCGCGGGGCCGCTCGCCGCGGCGGCGGGCTGCCCCCCCAGGGCTCCGCCGCAGCCGAGGTGGCGCATCCGCGCAACGACCCCTCCGCCGCCCAGAGCGCGGTCCGACAGTTGCGCGCGGCGTGCCGCACGCGCGCGCGCGCCGCGCCATCCTCCTTTCCCCCTCCACCCCTGCCCTGTGGGCCGTCGTCTTGATGGGCTCGGCTCCAAATTTTGCGCGGCGTCGACCTGGGCCTCGCGCCGGCGTCGGCGCCCCGCGCCCGGCTTGCGACGCGCGGCCAGTCGGCGCAGCGCCCGCGCGCCGCCGAGGACGCGAGCCGCCGCGAACGCGCTCCAATCGACAACGGGCGGCGGGCCAGGCCGAACAACGCGCCCCACCGTCGAGGGCGCGCGGCGCCGGGGCGATCCGCCAGAGGGGCCGGCCTGCCACGGCCGCCGCCGGGGCCGCCAAGGCAGCCTCCGCGCCTCCCGCATTTCCAGGACAATCCTTAGACATCTCCGCCGGCGCTCCGGCGCCCCGCGCGCGGGAGGCCGCCGCGGCCGCGGCGCCGGCGCCGCCGCCGCCGCCGCGCCGCCCGCGGGGCCAGGGGGGCCCTCGGCCCCCGCCGCCCCTCCTCTGCATCGCCATCGGCGCCCTATAGGCCTCGCCGCGGGCCCAGGCAGAGCCGGCACGCACCTCGAGCGACCCCGCCTAGCCGCGCAGGGCCGAGCCGTCGGCGCCCGGGGCGCCGGCGCCCGCCAGCGCGGCGTGGCCGAGGCTGCTGGCCCACAGCACCTCTGCAGTCTCCAGCGGCGGCGGGAGGTCGCCGACCTGGTCGGGGAAGAGCGCCCTCGAATAGCGGGCGCCCTCGCTGTCGGACCCCGCTGCCACGTCAGCGAAGGCACACTGCGCAACGTCGCCAGCGACGGCATCGCGCCGCTCCAGCGCCGCGGCGGGGCACCGCAAGGCGAGGCGGCACGCTGCGACGCGACCGCCGCGCCCCGCGGCGGGGCAGGCGCTCGGGCGGCGCAGAGGAGGATCGAACGCGGTTTGGCGGGCAACGGGCCGGAGCCCGCCGAGCGCCGCGTCGCGGGCGCCGGGCCACCGCGCCCGCCGCTCGGTGGCCGCCTCAGCTACGAGCAGCCGCTGGCAGAGGCAGCGGGTCGCCGCGCCGCGGGCCGCGCGGCCGCGCCCTGCGTCGGCGGCGGCGGTCTCGCGCCAGGGCCACCGCTGACGCGATGCGCGGGCCCGCCTGCGGAGCGCGCGGCCCCCGATCTCAGCGAGCCTCAACGCCGCGCCGTTGTCCGTCATCCAGCGGGGCAGCGCAGTCGAAGTCCAGCAAAGTCTCTCGACGGCGAGCAGCGCCGCCGCCGCGGGGCCGCGCCTCGCCAGCGCAGCGGGCCCGCGACCATGGCGAACCTGCACGGCGCGCCGCCGCACCACGCCCACACCACGTCGCGGGCGGCACCAGGGCTGACCCGCGCGAGCCCGCAGCCCCACGCCAGGAGCGCCCGCTCGGCCCGCGAGAACCAAGGGTCGCGCCACGGCGCGGCGGGCAGCGCGAAGCCCACCTGCAGCGAACGGCCGCGCGCGTCGCCGATGGCGAGAGCACCGACTGCCGATCGCCACCGCTCGAGCTCCGACGCGGCCAACGCCCGGGCGCGGCAGCCGCAGGCCGTCGTCGGGAGAAGCCGCCCACGAGCAAGCGCATGGCGGCCCCGATGGACTGGCGCCGCGCGCCCGTCACCCGCCCGAGCTGGCCGCGGGCCGAGGTGCGCGATTTCCTCGCCGCCCCAGCGGCCGAGCCGCCCACGCAGAAATCCACGCTGGGGTCCTCCGTGGCCTTGGTCGGCTCGGCATTGGCGGCGCCGGTTTGCCCGCTGCCTGGACCTCGCCCCGCGCCTCGAAGCTGGCCGCCGCCTCCGCTTTGGCCGGCGAGACCCCCAAGCGCGCCCAGCCCAGCTGCCACCGCGAGCCCTGCTGCCGCCAGGTGCCTCGCGATCGCCCGAGCGACGCGCCCGAAGCCAGACGTGGTCGCGTCGTCATGGAAGACGCGCATGTCGGACTTCAGCGGGCCGCCGCCGCAGGCGCCGCGCTCCTCGGCGCGCGCCCCCGCCACTGGGCGCATCGCCGCCTCCGAGCCCCCCCCCATCGCGCGGGCAGCCTGCCAGCAGACCCGCGCCCAGGGCACGCGCCGCGGCCGCGACGGCGCCCACGCGGACACGGCGGCGCCCGCGGTTGGTCGACGCGGCGCAGCGGGCGGGCCAGCCACGCGGGCCCGCGAGGCGGGCCAGGCGCTCGGCGCGGGCGAGCCACGTCGCCTCGCAAGCCGTCTCGAGGCCGATCACCGGCGCGGCGCCGCGGCACTGCCGCGCGCCCGCCGCCTCCGCCGCCAGCGCCCGGCGCCGCGCTGGCCCCGGGCCGGGCGCCTAGGCCCGCCCCAGTAGGCGCCCGCGTCGCTCCTGCATAGGCTGGCCTCCCACACGCCGCGCCTCGACCTGCCCGGGCTCGCCCCGCCCCCACGGGGATCTGAAACGGGCCGCCATCCACCAGTCTGGGCAGCATCACGATGAGCGGCGCCCGCGGCGCTGGCGGCCAGCCGCCGCGCCCCTCGGCCGCCACGCCGACGCCCTTCGACGCCCCACCACCCGTCGGAGCCGTCGGCGACGCCGCAGACCACGCGAGCCCAGTGCGCACACCTCGCTCTGGCCCGCCCACGGCGCGCCGAGCTGTTCAGCTCGCCCTCCTGCCAGCCGCGCGGGGCGCGTCGCCGCGCGCGGAGGCCGCCCGCGGAGGCCGCCCGCGCCGTGCTCGAGCGAGTCCAGTACCCAGCGACTGAAGCGCCCGCGGCGGCCGCGGCCGTGCCCGGCGCCAGCGAGGCGGCCCCGGCGCGGCTCGGCCTCGTAGGCCAGCGCCGACACAGCTGAGCTGAGCTGTGCTCGCCCGCCGTCTCTCTCCACAACCACTGTTGCCAGCGCGGCGACCCAGCGCGCCCCGCGGAGAGATGCCCGCGATGGCATGCGCCGACGCGCCCGCCGCTGCGCCCAGGCAGTCGGCCACGCCATGAAGGCCCCAGGCCTTCCCACTCGACCCGCGGCCGCCCGAGAACTGCGGGCGGTCGCCCAGCGGGCGCGCCAGGCGCCCCTCGGGCCCCCAGCCGCGCACGCAGCGCTCCCGCCGCACATCCTGCGGGTCGTCGACGCGGTCGACGCAGCACAGCTCAGCCTCGGCCTCGGCCCGGCGCACGGCGCCGAGGCAGGCGGCCCCCGGCGCCGCCGGAGGAGCGGCGGCCGCGGCCGCCAGCGTCTCGAGGCCCGCCGACGGCGGAGAGATCTCGCGCCGCTCTGTTTCGGGACCCGCACAGGCGCGACTTCCACGCGCGCGTTCAGCGCAAGCCTGCTGGCCCAGTGGGGCCCGAAAGGCCCAGGGGCGGCCGCGCCGCAGCTCCGCGCGGACTCCTCCAGGCCGCGGCGCACGACGGAGTCGTCGAGGTTGGCGGGCGCGGCCGCCCGGGAGCAGGTCTCGCCCCCGGCCGACTGCGCGACGACGCCCTGGACCGCCTCCAGCGACCAGCCCGCCGCGGCCTTCTCGAGCACGTCGGGCACGGCGTGGAAGCCCCACGGCCTGACCCGCGCGACCGGCGCGTCGCCGATCTCGACGAGGGCTCGCCAGGATGCCCCCCCACCGAGTCACTGGCGAGGTAGACGCCGCCAGAATCGACGCCGCCGCGACAGGCCGCATTCGCCACCGCGACAACGCCGCGCCCATCGCCGCAAGTCACGCGGCCGCCACCTGCCGCGCCGGCGCTGGCCAGGCCGCGCGCGGCGGGGGCGACGACCCCCGCGCAGCCAGAGGCCGCGCGCGCTCCTCCAGCACCGCCGCTGCCAGCCGCGCCAGGCGCCAGGGCGGCCTTCACCCCGGCGCGCCTGCGCCGCGCCTCCTGCGCTGATCTCGCACGCCTGGAGGCGCGTCTCCCGCGCGAGCCACGCGTCCGCGCGGTGGCTCTCCACGGACCTCGCGTCGGCCTCCTCCTCCTGCCAGAGCTGGGCGATCTGGCCCCAGCCCGACCCGTTGACCGCCCAGATCTCGCACGTAGACTTGCGCCCAGGGCGGGCGCGACCGCGCCAGGCCGCCCCCCATCGGGGCCGCGCTCTCAAGTTCCCCGCTCGCGCAGTCCGGCGTGCATGGGGAGCCGCCGCTTCGGCCGCAAGGGTGGCCTCCGCGCCGCCCACGGGCAAGTCCAAGATTTTCCGGGATTCCTGGACTCCCCTGCCGGCACTCGGGCGCAACGCGCGGGCCGCGCGGCCGCCGATGCGGCGGCGGGGCCCCGCTCGGGGAACAGCGCGTCGAAGCAGAGTGGCACCGCCGCGCAGCGGCCAGGGCGATCGCCACCGCCATCAGAGGCCAGCAGATCAGCAACCAAGGCCGTCTCCACCGCATCGCCCGTCGCCTCGTCGGCGGCGGCCGCCTCGTCCTGGCCGGCTAGGACGTCGACGACGCGAGTTTCGGCGCCGGGCGACACGGCTCCGCCCGCGCCAGAGGCGCCGCCCGCGGTGGCCCCCGTAGCAATGCCGCCGCCGCCGAACCCAGGAGGCGCGGCGGTGTTGGCGGCCTCATGCTTGCCCTACTCCTCGACGAACTGCACCGCGGCCGCGACCACGGACGGGACCTGGCCCAGTGCCGCGGCCTCGAGGTTGGCAAGGTCCAGGACGATCCGCCCGCGCTCAGCGGGCGTGGCCGCCTTGGACGCGAGGCCCGCCAGGTGGGCCGCCGCCACCTGGACGCGCTCCGTGCTGAGAGCGGCGCGCTCGGCCTGCGCCGCAGCGAACTCGTCCTCGGTGCTGCCGAGCGTGGCCTTGCACTTGGTAACCAGCCCAGCTCCTGCTTGGCCACGCTGCGCTTGTCCAGTTCGCACAGCTTGACCTCGATCGCACGCAGGGGCTCGCGCGGTGGCTTGGCCTGGCGCCGCTCCGCCTGGAACCGCGCCACCTCGCTGCGGTAGGATGCGAGGAGCGAAGCCATGACCGCGCCCGAGCTGCCCAGGCCCTCCATATTCGAGAAAAGGCCCCCCCCCCCCTCGGCAGCGGCGCCCGCGGCAGCCAGGGCGCCCCTCGAGGCCGAGCGCTGCGGCGCCTTGTTCGCCTTTCTGGGGCCGTCGAGCTCGCGCCACAGGGCCCTGAACTCCTCGGGGGTGGGGCCAGCGGCGGCGCCCCCGCGCTGCTCACGCGACGCCAACCGCGCCCACGGGGGGCGCTGCGCGCTAAGGATGACAAGGGCGATGACGATGACGGTGACGATGACGATGACGATGACGATACTGATGCCGATGACGATGATGACGGCAATGGCGATGACGATGGCGATGACGATGTTGACAGTGATGATGGTGATGATGATAATGATGACAATGATGATAATGATGATAATGATGATAATGATGATGATGATGATGATGGTGGTGGTGGTGGTGATAACGATGCTGCTCATTATGATGATGACGACGGTGCCGATGGTGATGATGATGATGCTCATGATGATGATGCTGGTGATGATGGTGATGATGATAACGATGATGATGAGTGTGATAATGAAGATGATGGTGATGACGGTGGTGATGATGCTGATGATGATGGTGATGATGATGATGACAATAATAAGGATGTGTGAGGATGATGGTCATATTGATACTACTGATGATGGTGATGACGACGAGGATGATGATGGTGATGATGGTGATAATGATGCTGATGATGATAATGATGACCATGATGATGATGATGATGATGATGCTGATGAGGATGATGACAACGATGATGAAGATGATGATGATGGTGATGGTGATGATGATGGTGATTGTGATGGTGATGGTGATGATCATAGTGATGACGATGAAAATATTGATGACTACGATGACGGTGATGACAATGGTGGTGATCATGAGCTTGGTGATGGTGGTGATGATGATGATGGTGATGGTGGTGATGATGCTGAAGATGACGATATCGACGGTGACGACGGTGACGACGACGACGACGATGATGATGATGATGCTAGTGATGCTGCTGTTGTCGATGATGTTAATGATAACGGTGATGATGATGGTGATGGTGATACTGTTGTTGTCGATGTTGTCAATGATCACGGTGATGATCATAACATATTATGATAATCAAAATGGTTGTCGCCTTCTCACGTGCCCTGGGAAGCGTGTCGATCCCATCTTCAAGGCATCCGCCGAGCCGCTTTGGGCGATGATCGCCAAATGACGATAATAATGATGGTGTTGATGTCGTTGATGATGTTGACGATGTTGATGATGTCGACGATGTTGATGATGCTGATGATGCTGATTAAGCTGGTGCTGATGTGGGGGTTTTCTGTCCCTGCGCGGGGGTGTCCAAAGAAAACAAGAGCCTCACTTAGAATGTGATGAAAAAAGGAAGCGGAGGCACAGGTGGAGGTGGAAGGGGAAGTGCAGGGACAGCTGCAAGTCTAGGTGCAAGTGCAGATTCCTGAGGGGGAGCTGGGACGGAAGGCGGGGGGGAAGGTACTGCAAGCAAAGCACAATAGCAGGGTTGGTGGCCCTGGCGCCTCGTCCAGGTCGATGAGGTCCACTTTCTCGCGGATGCACTGCAGCGCCGCCTCCGTGCAAAGCTGCGCCAGGTCTGCGCCCACGAAGCCGTGGGTGTTCGACGCCACGTCCTCTGGGAGCCCGACAGCCCGACAAAGACGCACCAAAATGTGCTCATGACTCGCAGGGTTTCGGCGGTTAACGGAGGCTGGAGGGCTTTAATTGTTCTCGGAATCATTCATCGGTCTTCTGGCGGGTTTGAGGTTTGCGGCAGTCTAGAACGGCTTTCGGCCTCTTTTTGCTGCTACCCCGTGAGATCGACTATTCTGGAAAGATGTTGGTGGCGCGGGGGTCGGATGCACGTTCAGAAATACTGGCGACGCCAAACTGTTGTCCAGAGATGCCAGTTCGACCCATCGACGGCCAGGATCTCCAGCCGACCAATCGGGCCAACAGTCTGAAAATGATCTTCGATTCAAGAGAGCGGCGATGGATAGTCCAACAAGAAGCATGGCCCGCATGGATCTTCACCCAATGACTCTTTCATGACATGGAAGGCCCCGCCTGCTCTTCAGGAGAAGAGAGGTGGAGGGAGAGGAAGATGAAGAGGAGGACCACGGGGAGCAGGGGAGCAGGAGGACGGATGGTGGATGGCGAATGGGGAATACTGGACGGATGCTGGATTGGTATGAAGAAAATGTCCCGAGGGAAACGGCTTCCTAGACGCAGAGCCCTGGGGCTCTTCGCCAGGAACCGTTGTGCCGACGGTCCCAGAGCCAGAGGAAGGCCCCGGAAGCCCTGAAACGGCCAGGAGGAGGAGGAGGCGAGGAGAAGGAGCAGGAGGAGGAAGAGGCGACGAGGAGGAGGAGGAGGAGGAGGCGAGGAAGAGAGGAGGGGGAGGAGAGAGGAAGGAGGAAGGCTGGGAGAAGAGAACGAGGACGCCCACGAGCTACCCGTCCTCGAGCTTCACGTCTGGAGCGAGCTTCATGTTCTTCGTGTGGATCCTCAGAACCTCCAGACGGCCGTTGTCGTCCGGCACTCCGATGTCCAGCTCGCGGTCGAAGCGCCCGAAGCGCCGGAGGGCCTGGTCGATGGTGTTGGGCCTGTTGGTCGCAGCGATGACGACGGTCTGGCTGCGGCCCTTCATGCCGTCCATGAGCGTGAGCATCTGCGAGACCACCCTCTTCTCGACCTCGCCGCTCGTTTTGTCGCGCTTCGGGGCGATCGAGTCGATCTCGTCGATGAAGATGATCGACGGGGCGTTCTTCTCGGCCTCCTCGAATGCCCTGCGGAGGTTGCCCTCGGCCTCCCCAGCCATCTTTGACATGATCTCGGGACCGTTGATCAGGAAGAAGAAGGCCCCAGTCTCGTTGGCAACGGCGCGGGCGATCAGCGTCTTCCCACTGCCCGGTGGGCCGTACAGTAGCACCCCGCGAGGGGGCTTCACGCCCAGCGTCTTGAAGAGCGTGGGGTGCCGCAGCGGCAGCTCGATCATCTCACGAATCTGGGCCATCGCCTTCTTGCAACCACCGATGTCGTCGTAGCCTACGTCGTCGAGCTTCTCCTCGTCCTCGCGGTTCACGGGCTTACCCTCACAATGGATGACCGTGTCCGGCGCCACGATGCAGAACTCGCCCGGCTCCACCCCGACCACTTTGAACTCCACCGGGCGGAAGCCGCCACGAACCAAGAAGAGGTCGCCCTGGCGGGCCGGCCTGTACGCCTCAAGGTAGTATGGCTTGAGGTACGTGTCGAATAGGTTCCCTGTGATGCCCTCGATGGTGTCGTCGAGGGGGAGCACGTGGATGCGCTTGCCATAAGGCACATCGCCGCACGCGTGCACCGACACGATGTCACCCAGGCGGACGCGCAGATTCTTGCGCACCACCTTGTTCAATCGGATCTTGTTGTCGTCGAGGTTGTCGTCCGCAAGCACAATGCAGACGGTGTCCTTCCGCTTCTTGCCCTTGATGAGCACGTTGTCACCACGGAACATGCTCAGCTCCTCCATCTTGGCCTGCGACGAGGAAGGAGGCCAACCAGTCGAGTACCATCGTGGGAGCTGGCTGTCTTCTCCGCGGCTTCTCTCGAGCCAGGTCGACACGGGGAGCCCTGGGGCCCAGAACGAGGCGGCAAGACGTCTCGTGATGCGTTCGCGACGCCCCGAACGTGGGGTCACCCTCCATCTGGTCCGAGGAGGAAGACGAGGTTGGGCCTGGTCCTAGAAGGGAGAGGTGGACACAGAAGAAGGAAGAACAAGAAGAAGGAGGGGAGGAGAAGTGGCTGTCTCTTCTTCCTCATGCTCTCCCTCGGTCCCCTGGATGTCCCCGGCTGCGACCTGAGATCCCCGGCGGCCTCCAAAGCCTCATGACCACTTTGGAGGCCAATGATACATCAACATGTCCCACAAACTTCCTCCTCCAAGACCTCGTCCACCTCCTCCTTCTCCTCCTCATCCCTTTCCTCCTGACCGGCACCACCACCACCACCACCACCACCACCACCACCATCATCATCATCATCATCATCATCATCATCAGCATCATCATCATCATCATCATCAGCATCCTCATCCTCATCCTCATCCTCATCATCATCATCATCATCATCATCAGCATCAGCATCAGCATCAGCATCATCATCAGCATCATCACCAGCATCATCATTACCATCATCACCATCATCAGCATCGTCGTAGTCGTAGTCATCATCCTCATCAGCACCACCATCCTCACAGTCATCACCATCATCACCATCATCATCTATCAAAACCGTCACCACAACAACCACAACCAGCATCATCAGCAGCATCAGCATCACCATCGTCATCATCCTCATCATCAGCATCATCAGCATCATCATCACCATCATCACCATCATCACCATCATCACCATCATCACCATCATCACCGAGGTGGACCTGACCGAGGCGGCCCTGACCGAAGCGGACCTGACCGAGAAGCTCCAGCAAGTGAGGGTTTACGACACGGCAGCTTCACACCTGGCCAAATACCTCATGAAGCACGGTGGCATATTGCAGCAGATCGAAGTCCCCGAGCACCTCATCAGCTTAGTGGCCAACATGCACAAGGACACCTGGTTCGCGCTCTCCCCAAAGGGCAGGGTCATCCGGACGACGAGGGGCTCACGCCAAGGCTGCCCACTCGGCGCGATTCTCGATATTGTATATAGCGTAGCCCTGAGAGAATTTCGAGCAGCGCTTGACGAGCTCAACCTCGCGTTCGTTGCGGAGTGCGAGCCCAGTGGCCCGCCACGGGCCCACCAGCCCGGCGCCTTCCCCACGCACACTGTGCCAATTGGGGAAAACACGTTCGTCGACGACGAGACAGTCTGGATTGCAGGCGAGAACAACACGAGCCTCAACCGCAACGTTGCCCTGGTAGTCGAAGCGGCGCAAACAACCATGGCGAGGCACGGCATGCAGCTGAACTGGAAGCCCGGCAAGTCAGAGGCCCTCACCATGTGGAGGGGTAAGGTCGCACGGGCCGCCAAGGCAGAGGCGATGATCGGCGAGCGCCCTGCCTTGGCCCTGCCTGGAGCCCCAGGCATCAAGTGTCTCGTGGTGCGCGAGTGCAAGCACTTAGGATCCCTGCAGTCTGGGGTCGCGTCCTCTGCCCTGGAAATACGTGCGCGCCTGCGGAAAGCATCCGCGGTGTACCACAGCCTGGTGCGGAAGGACTTCGCAGTGCAACACATGAGCGTGCAGCTCAGGCTGCGACTCTTCCAGTCCCTCATCCTTTCAGCGCTGTCCTATAACTCGAGAGCTGTGGACGCCTTCGCGCACACACATACAATGGCTGCATACTTTTTATCTACGCGCCGAACGCAGGATCACCCATGAAGCCCCGCCTAAGCGATTTTATACTTTTGTAGAAATTGCAGCTTTCCCCCATTGACAATATACTCAGGCGGTGCCGCCTGCTATACATGTCCAGCTTGATCTACATGCCTATCCCTGCGCTGCAAGCCCTCCTCCTGCCCCACACGGCCTCTCCCACCCCGCTGTTTCAACGAATTTTCGCCGACCTCCAGGCAATTCCCGGGTTTGCGCCGCCGCCAGTCTGGAGGACCTAGATGCATTAGGGGACCCAAGCTCAGCAAAAGGAGCAGCCGCATGGACAGAAGTCATAGCCACCGACTGGTGGAAATGGAGACGTCTCGCCCAGGACGTTTCGCTAGGATCGGCGTCTTTTGCCGACGACTCCACAGATCCTCTTCAAGTTCCGTGCCCTGAGTGTGACAAACTGTTCAGTAACAGCAAAGCCGTCGCTACGAACAGGATGAGGGTTCACGGCCGTCGGAAACCCGTGGCGTCCGTGATCCCTGCAGAGGCTACGACATGCCCTGTCTGCTGTAAAGCGTTCGGGACCACCCAGTAACTCGTAGACCATGCGCAATACAGAACTCACAAGCGCCGAGATGCGACTATCGCACTCTGATGTGTGTGTGTGTTCCGGTACTTGTGTACTGCCGCACAGAATCCTCATCCTCATCCTCATCGTCATCATCAGCATCAGCATCATCGACATCATCATCATCATCATCATCATCATCATCATCATCATCATCATCATCATCATCATCATCATCATCATCATCACCATCACCAGCATCACCATCTTCATCATCATCCCAGACCTCAAATTCATTCTCCCTTCTTCGTCCTTCTGAAAACTCCTCCCTGTCGCACCCAAGGCCAATCGGAAGGGCGGGCCGGGCGATTCGTCTGATATTACCTTAGCATCTATTATCCTCAAAGATACACACTGACAACCGTTTCACAGATAGAAGGTGGGCCGTTTCCAAAAAAAGGCTCTCGCTTCACCGCTGACACATTCGTTTCAAAGGTTTGCAAGAACTTCACGAATTGCAGACACGTGATTTTCAAAATGTCGCTGTCGCCAGAGCGCCGCACACATTCGTTCCAAAAGTGTGCAGGAGCTGGTTTCAGGGCAGGTCATTTTCAAAATGTGGCTCTCGAACGACCGCCGCGCACATTCGTTCTAAAACTTTGCAAGTGCTTCACGGGTGGAGGGAGGTTTCTTTTCGAAAGGTGGCTCTCGCCTGAACGCCGCGCAGATTGTTCGCAAAACCTTGCCATGATCTCACGGATTCAGGGCTGTCCTTCTTTAACACAAGCTGACGATCGCCCCAGCACCCCGCTCATCCTCTTCAGAATGTCCTGTGATTTTGTTCAGACCATTTGCATCAGGTGGCTGGCCCAAACTTGATAGGACAATGACAGTGCAGGCGCCGTCCTACGTTGACGGGATGCGCCAGCGCGACACGGTTCACAGGACGACAACAGAAGGACAAGGAGCGAAGGCCAAGGCGGGGGTGGGAACGAAGGACATAAGGACGCGCGGGGGGGCGACCCGTCAGCGCGGCAACAGCAGAGGGAAGGTGGCAGGGGGCAGAAGACGAATACAAACGTGACGGGAAGAGACCGAACAGTGCTGCTGTTGTCGGTGGTACGTTAAAGATGCAGGCCCCTTTGGCCGCGACATCGCACGCCGAGGGTTCTTCCAACGCAAGGGCCATTCGTCATAATCCGCGCGAGGTGATATAGAACCCCCCTCTCCTTTTGCCACCTGCTCCACGCCAGCGGGGCGCGTGCGTCTGCGCGTCGTCGCGCGTCGACATTCCCTGCATTGGCGACGCGGTCCAACTTGAGGCCCCCGCAGGGTGTTCGAAAAGGCAATAGAAGCCATTGTTTCTCTGAGTCTCACGTAGAACCAACGCAACCACGAGGCGTTTGACTCCGCAGACAACCACGTCCCCCACCCTTTCCAGCCCGATTCTTTTCACGATGAATGCACATCGGCAAGATGGCTGCTCCGTTCTTGATTATACTCCTTGCTTTCTCACGTATCACCCCACACTTGAAGTTCCAGAGATCCCCATACTCATCGCGAGTGATGGAATCCACATCTAACCACGGTGCGGGCCCCATGCTCCCGCCATGCCAGTAATCGGATTGGCGAGCAAGCCTCTGTAGCGCGCGCCTGCGCGCCGCGCGCCACGCCGCCCCTCGCCGCGCAACCTCGCCGCTCCCCCGTTTTCACCCCCGCTCGCAGCGGCGCCCAAGCTAGCGCCGAGCAACCACTTAACCTCACCCCGCACCAATGCCCAACATTTGAAGATGGTCAGTAGCTCGTCAGTATTCACGTCGTCCGGCACTTCGCTCACCTGCCCAGGTTCCCTCCCATTCGGGCCCCTCGCCTCCCCCGACCCCAAGACCCTCTCACTGCGCCTCCTCAACTCCCCCGGCCCCCTGACCCTATTGATATCGCCGCTAGTCTTGGCGGAGTAACGCTAGCTGGCCGTTCAATGTCATCGCCGCCAGGTGGCGCGGAACTCAATCCACCCCGCCCAAAGCCCTCGCAATTCCCTTCCACCTTCACTGTTCCAAATCACCAGCTATATCTTCTACCTCGCCAGTTTCCTGATAAATCACACATGCTCGTCTCCCACTGCCCGATAGTTGCGGCGCTCTAGCCTTGCGCATCTAGGCGCGCGCGCGCATGTTGGTTCGGGCCCGCGACGCCGTCGACGGACTAGAACCTTTTCTCTTGCATGAAAAGATGGGCGCCCGCGCTGCCGGGCTTCACCCTCATTCGGGCCGCCGCCAACCGTTCCTGAATGCTCGACTCGTCTTGCCCCGCGAGCCACACGATAAAGGTGTCTGGACATCCCGGGAGGCGCGGCCCACGCACGGCATGCCCTCTAGGCGCGGCTTTGCAACCGGACGCCCAGGCGCGGGCCCCCTGGCCGCGCGCTCCGACCCCTGCACATCCACCCCATCGGGCCAATCATGGCCCGGCGACAACAGTCGACTCCGGGCTGGGAACTGCCGTGGGAGATACCACCCAGGCCTTAGCTCCCCGTCGCCACGCCACCTCGCACGCCGGCGGTCTCTGAGATCCCATCCCCCCCCCACACTTCCTCCGCGCCTAAACTCGCGGGAGTTGGCGGCCCCGCCCCGGGCGCCGATGACTGACCCCTGACTTGCTTCGCGCGTTCCCAAAATATGCCAAGCCCCATTCTGCGTCGCGGTCGCTGCCCCCCTTGAAGCGGGGTCTTCGGGTGCGCGACGAGCGCCCCGCGCTCGGGCATCGCGCCGTTGAGTTTGCGCCCCCGGCGCCTCTCGTCGGCCATCTATCCGCCGGCGCCAATAGCAAATTCATCGGGGAAGGAAGACGCGCGAGCCACTCGCCGCGGCACGGGCGCAAACTCTTCGAAGACCTCGACTGCGCCCTCGTCGCCCAGGGCAATCTCCGACGCCCGACACGCCCCCGGGCGGCCCCCGTCGCCCTCTCGGAATCTCCGCTTGCTTGGAAAACTCCGACAGAGCCAAGCTTTGGTGGCCCCCTCGAGCGACGCGATGGGCGCCTCGCCATCGCCCCTGAAGTTCGCGTTCTTGAGACAGGCGAACAAATCATGTCCAGCGCGACCCCGATCGAGCGAAGGCCCGCCCCGCGCCCGCGCGGAACGAGGCCCCGGCTAAACTCGGCAACCCCGCGACGCAGAATATGGTTTTCTGTTCCCTCCTCATTGCCCTCTCCCGCTTCGACGCTGAACCGCGCGCGCTAGATCGAGGTCACGGGCGCCCCTTGCCCCCGCAATCCCACCCCCCATTTGCGCGCCCCCCACCCCCCGCGCCACCCCCCCCCCCCGCCACCCCTCCGACACAGCGGGGGCGCCGACTCCCTCATGGCAGATGAGTCTTGCTGAGTAGCAAGAGTTCTCCTCTGCGCTCGGCCTCGAGTCGCCGGCGATTCCCCCGGGCGCCTCAACCTCGTCTTCTACCCGCACGTCCTCAGCATCACTTTTCCCACTGCCCCCGCCCTCGCCCTCGCGGTCGCCCTTCATGCCCACGGCGATTGGATAATGACTGGGGCGCGCGGGCGCACCCGGACTCATGGGCCCGCCACAGGAATTCCTGGCAAAGAAATCCCCACATCCATCGCCACCGCCGCCAATGCTTCTCACTTTCCGCGCCCCCCCCCCCCCCCCCCCCCCCGGACTCGCAGTTCTTCCGGGGCCCGCGTGGTGGACTGTAATGCAGCACGTTTCCGGAGCGTCGTCGCCTTCAGACCCGTCGAGCGGCGCCGCTCGAGGCAACTGCGGGGTCGCCCATCGCTGCCTCGACCAGATGCAATGCGATTTCCTGCCGCGACGATTTCACGCGCAGACCCGAGCACCTGTTCCAACATCTGCGAGTTGCATGGGCATGCCGACCGCAAACCGCATGTCGCCCTTACCCACAGCCAGTCACTGCCCACGCGATAACTGACCCATGGCTGCGACGCAGCGATTGTCATTCTCGGATGCTCCCGCCGTTTTAACAGGAAAGTGGGCCCCGACGCGCGGCGATGCGACATCGCTGGAAGCCCCTGAGTCCACCGCGACAAAAATTCCCGCGCAACTGCCCCGGCCCCTCATCGGCACCGCATTGAATTATTCGCCAGGCCCCATCCATCTCCGCAAACTGTAGCTCGCTGCACTTCTGCACCCAACCTTCGCCTGTTCGATGACCCCCGAAACGCGGATGCCCCAGCCTGTGCCGCGGCTGCGGTTAACGCCGCGCTCACGCAGCGCACGCTGCCTCTTGACCCCTACACCTGGCTTCCCCGTTCCTCCTCTCCGCCGCCTGGCACTGCGCCCCCCCGCGGCCCGTCTCTGGGGCCCCTCAGCGCCTGCGCCCCCGTCGGCAGCGACGCCCAACTCGACGCTGGAGCACCCTGGCCCAGACAGAGGCCGCCCAGACACCTGTGCGGGCGCTCCCGGGCCCCCTGCCCCCCTTGACCTGAAGCAACCACATTGGCGCACTTGGGGCATCGGGCCGCAGCGCGGCCCTCTCCGCTGCGCGCGAAAGGCCCCCTGTCGCCGATCGGCGCAAGCCCCCCCGTACCTCCCCAGGTCCAGCCTAAGGCTTGGCCCCGTTGGTAACTCCTCAGGGGGCCCATGCGTAGCCCCCATTTGAATGGCCCCCGGGCAACCGTCGGCGCCTTCGCGACCCCCTCTACATCCCCCGCCTGCGCCCCCTTGGTAACCCTTGAATCCTGCGCGCCATCCTTTCCCGCCCCATTGTCCTAGAACGGCTACGCTGTCCATGGCCACGCGCCCGCGCTCTCCGCGCCTGTGGCACACGGGCCCTTCTGTCCCTACCCTCCCCCGCGTCTACTTCGCCCGACGCGCCGTAATCGACCGCGGCCCCCGCGCTCAAGGGCCGCCAATTATCGCGCGAACCTGCATCGTCTCCATTGGCTTCCCAATGCCCAGCGCTGCAATCGCCAACCCGGCACGCGCCCATTGCATCGGCACTTTTCGCGCCGACGCCTGGCATTTTCCTCGCCACATCCTCACGTTTAACGAACAGCTCTTGATACGCGCCAATATAAAAAATGGCACTGGGGCTTGAAGCAACCCCGCCGCCAATCATCAAACCAACCGCCGGCGCGAGTCATGAGGACCCTCAACCCAATAAACAGGAAAAGCAATGGCAACGAAGATGCCAACCCACAATTATCCAGAGACTCCGCCAACGCACTCCACTGCTCGAGATGGGTCGCCACATCCTTCACCAGATTGGGCTTCTCAGGTTTCATGGCCAGGATAATCACGTGGGAGCGTGAAACCGGCAATTGCCGAATGCCAATTATAAACGTTCGAATATGGCACGTAACCGCCGCCCGCATGCATACCCAGAAACTGTCAGCGAGGATCCGCGCCCTCGAAGTTGTCGTTCGACTAATACCATAAGTCCTCGCCCGGCTTGGCGTAATCGTCTTCTTTAAAGCAGATTCCCATGTTGCGTCGTCCTCTTGCTTCTTGATGAGAGACGCCCTGGTGTACTCGTTTCGTCTCTACCCTCCGCTCATGATTTCTATCACGTTAACCCCCTCGTCGTCTGGTGGGGCATGGTCTCGAACCTGCTGTTCGCATGCTTCAAAAAATTCCCAAGCATCATGCTTCACCGGGGGAGCGCATTCAAGACCTTTCCGCTCCATCCCCTGAACTGGGTCAAGCCACATGAAGACCTTTAACGGTTGAGCGGCCTTGTACTCGCTAGCCACATCCTCCGGCCCTCATGCTTCCAGCGGACTGTATAGTTTCGGGGATCATGCGAACATGCTCCGAACCGTCGTTTGACGTTGGTATGTTGTACAAGACTTGTTTTCAAGTTGTTGAACTGTTTCTCGCACTACATGGTGCGACTGGTGACCGATACCAAAGGGGCACTCCCCATGCACTTCATCTGCAACATCGTGAATGTCTCATCATCGCCAACCGTCCTGCTACAAACTGTGGCGCTGCATTCGAATAGTGGCCCCATTCTTGGTCTTGAAGGTGGTGGTAACATACCTGACATCCCCGTTCTCGCAATTTACATTGCAAAGCTCTGCAAACCGATTTTTGCCCAGGTTGTACCAGGCTTCACGCACCCTTGGTAACGATACATTGTAACCAGGTCGTTGTTACTGGGGTCCACTGGGGTCGCTGCAGCGACCGCCGCTGCCATCTCTGCTCTGGAACCCGTGGGGCGCACCACGGGTTCCGCTACCATGCAAATCAGGAAAAAGCCTTTCGTTGTTCTGAGAAGGCAAATGAACTAAATACAAACGGTAACGCTAGCATCTGACAGCTGAACGTGCGGCTGTGCTTCTCACCCAGTCGCATTGCCATGTTCTGACACTGGTCCGCCTTCCTCCACCTCCTCGTCCTCCTCCGAGGGGTCCCCTCCTCCTCCCTTCCCCCCGCGCCTGCGACAGGGAGATCACCGAGTTGTCATCGTTGAGCGCCTCCTCGACGACGAGGCGATTCGGCGAGCGTTTCTTCTTCGGCACTTCCTGGGGAGGAGGATGACGAGCAGGCAGGAGGAGGAAGGAAGGAGGAAGGAAGGAGGAAGGAGGAGGGGGAGGTAGCAGGAGGCAAGCAGGAGCAGGCAGGAGCAAGCAGGAGCAGCCACGAGCAGGCAGGAGCAGACAGGAGGCAGGCAGGAGCAGGCAAGAAGCAGGAGAAGGCAGTGCAGGTGGCAGGAGGACGCGGGTGGCAAGAAGCAGGCGTACCCCTTTTTTTCGTGGGCGTTTCCGCAACGGGGGCGCCGGCCGCTGGCGCCGCCGCCATGTCGCCCAACGGGGAAGGAGGGGACTGGAGGCCCTTTGGTGAGGCCAGCGTTCCATTCCAGGGTTCCTCCTACTAAAGAGGGGGAAGAGAAGAGTGGAGGGAAGGAGGGAGGGAGGGAGGGAGCGGAGGAACCCGTATCTCAACGCGTCGTGACAAGAAGAACGACGGGAAATTGTTGGCAGTTCTAAGACTGCGGGGAGCCTTACTGGGCTCTAGGTCTTGAATAGACGACCCGGATGAAAAACTAGTCAGGACCTCTTGGGGCCTCCGTTGCAACATCAAGACGTCGGGAATCGACGGGGGAGGGGGCCCCATCCTTTTTTTCTTCGTCGCTCACGCCTGGTTTGGCGCGCTTCGGATGCGGGTGGCAGGCGAGACCGTCGCCGAACGCGACGGTCCTGCTTGCGGACATATCCTTCTGACTGCCGCGGAAGCCCCCTCACGAGGCGCCGGTTCCTCACGGTAGCATTCGTGGCCGAGGGAAGTGGCGGGAGGGAGGCGGGAAGGAGGAGGAATGAGAGGGAATGGGAAGCAGGAGGCAGGAGGAGAAAGGGAGGGGAGGAGGAAGGACGAGGAGGAGGGGCAGGAAAAGGGGGGAGGATGAGGAGGAAGACAGGGAGGAGGAGGAGGAAGAGGAGGAGGAGGAGAGGAGGAAGAGGAGGAGGAGGAGGAGGAGGAAAAGGAGGAGGAGGAGGAGGAGAAAAAGGAGGAAAAGGAGGAGGAAAAGGAGGAGGAAAAGGAGGCGCAGTGAGTGTAAAGGAGGCAACGGAGGAGGGGGAAACAAATTAGAGAAAGATCAAGAGGAAGAGGGAGGCCAGAGGGGACCAGAGGAAGGAAAGCCTCAAAACCTTCAGAAAACCCTGGCGAAACGATCGCAATCCTCTACTTTCCCCCCTTCTTCGACTCCTTCTTCCATATTGTAATTTTCCTAATCCTGTTGCCTCCTCCTCCTCCTCGTCCTCCTCCTCGTCCTCCTCCTCCAGCTCCTCTTCCTCCTCCTCCTCCTCCTCCTCCTCCTCCTCCTCCTCCTCCTCCTCCTCCTCCTCCTCCTCCTCCTGCTTTTCCTCCATCCTCCTCTTCCTGCTAGGAAAACATGCATTCGCGCCTCTTGTTCCGCAGCCGGCTTGAGTCCAGGGATCCGACGCAAAGAAAAATGCATGTGCTGTCTGGCATGGCAGCGGGGGTGCTGTTTAGAAAACCATGCATTCCATGCCCACGGGGAACAGGCCCAGGAACGGTCCCCATGGAGCCTTCGATCGCACAAGGGGTGATAAATACGAAATTGCTCTGAAGGATCGTCAAAGAGTTCCTGGGCACTGAGCATACTTGGCCTGATTGGTCATTTGAGTTCGCAATCCACGCATGCGCTGGCTGTGGGCCGCGAAATGGCTAGACCGATGGACAGAACGATATCAAAACATAACTTAAGACTATCGCTATGAATACGCTTGGAATATCATTTCATTCTGCACCCTTCACTGGCCCAGTGCTGCCGCAGGCGATTTCGCTGCCGCTTGGTGGCCCAGTTTCGCGGGACGCCGTGCGGATTGCACAGCGAACGCCTGACCAATGAAATGGCGTCGTTGTTCGCAATGTTCGTATAAGAAGCGAGCTGCCTGGAGGCTAAATCGTCAAAGAATAGTTGCGACGCTGCTCTGCGTAGAATTTCTCGGTTGCTGACTCTTGAAATATACGAAGAGGGCATGCCCAACAAACGCCGCAAGCTCAGCACGAAGGAGCCATGCGGAGTCCAGAGTTTACGTCAACTTGCTCAACACGCATGGTTCGTATATATTGAGTTCGCGCGCTACCCCGACTGATGAATGAGACTACATTTTCGCAATTCGTTGAACACGCCTGTCGATTCTCCGATGCGCCGTGACAACTCTGACGCGACCTTCCCGTCGTAAGTGATAAGCCCCCCCAGGCACACCGCTTCTCACTGACCCGATGGCCACCCCGCCCGGGCGAGAAATGCGAATTCCAGTCAAGATATGTATATAAACGGCCTGGTCCCAGTTCAGCTCCAGTCCATGTTTCTTGCCCCCCTCGGAAAAGGCGCTGGGCATCCGTTGAAGATTATCTCGGTGCTGCAAGGCCAGCTACGTGTCATCGGCATAGAGAACGCCTCGTGCAAACACGAATTCCTGCTCTTCTCGGAGTTCGCTCTGGACGAACAAGTAGTGAAGAAGTATGGTTTGCACGGCAATGAAAAGGCACGAAGAGAACGGGCACCCTTGAGCGATGCCTGCTTGTTGGTTCCGTTCTGTATATGGGCTAGCACTGTCGCGCATGACGAAGTACCGTTTCACGCATATCGACTGTCTCATGCTGGCCATGCCCGCGGGCAGTCCAAGACGGTTCAGAGCTGCGCACACCACGTCCGGCTTCGCCCTGGCCTAGGCCTTGGACCAGTCCAACATCAGGAACACCACCCCACCTGAATTGCCGTTGCGCGCTGCGTCTACCACGCGCCCCACCAACATCACGGCGACGGCAAAGCCACGCCCAGGCCGGAATCACACTGCGAATTCCGCATCCGCGCGTCGGCGCCGCCCCCGATCAGCCTTTGGTGCAACATGGATGCTAAAACTTTGTACCCAACTGGCAATAATGAGATTGGCATGCAAGTTGACGGTAGTGCTGCGTTCCTTTCATTGAACAGAAGAACCACTTTTGCTCGTTTCGACGACTCCTCCAAGCATTGTTGGCATACTCTGAATAAAAAGATTACATGCGGCATCGTCATCTACTACTGCCATCCTAAACTCCAGCGGCACGTCGCCGGGCCCCGCCGCCTTCCAAGTCTCCAGCACGCGCAGAGCCCGCCTCCATTCGGCCAGCGCGGAGGAGGACGCATTGACTGGCAACGCTGGCCCAAGCGGCGATGCGCATGCATGGGCTAGGTCGCCAAAGCGTCGCTGCCACTGCGCCTGCTCGAAATAAATTCCCGCGACGTTCGCCATCCCCGACGGTCACCGCCCGGCCTCTCGACGAAGCGCGCTTGACCGCCCCGGGCGCGGAGGCGCCGGGCAGCTTCCCAGCCCGCCCCCCCCGCGAGCGAGTTAGTTCATCGCGCCAAGATTCCTGGTTGTGCTTGCTAGATTTCCCCGTGAGTTCGCGCGGTCGGCATTTGCCCTCGCAATCGTCGGCCCTGCGGAGCGCATCTCGGTCAGCAAACGATCGCGGCGTGGCTGGGCTAGCCCACGGCCGCCGCGCCAGGGCGCTCTTGTCCGGCAGCGCGAGGTCAGCTCGAGCGAAAACAGCGCGAAGATCGCCAGTGGCGTCTTCCAGAGAGCTGGGCCGGCCCCAGAATGACGAAGTACACTTCTGCGCGAGTTCAACACTTTGGCCGCGCGAACGAAGAGCTGCAGAGCTACCCTGTCCACCGATTTCGCAGGCGCCCTGGCTTCGGCGCCGAGGTTCACGGCGGTCTCGACGATCGTCAAGAAATGGCAGCTACGCAATGCGATTCTCCGATTCGCCCAGAAATCCGCGATTGTAGACAACGCGCTCCGGCGGCGCAAGACACGGTCGATCTGGGCGAAGGCCTTTACGGATTCAACGTCCAGAGGCCGAATTCCAAGAGCACGGCGCAAAATTTGCCTCTTGTGGGGGTCGTCGAAGAAGGCGTTCGAAACGACGAGCTCGCACGCCTCGCGGCGCTCGCAAAGGAGCTGCCGACTCGACGTGGTAGCCTCTTGACTGTCACCCTGGGACGCCGGCGGATCTGCCCGGAATACGAATTGTCCGACCACGCGATCTTCGCCCCAGTGCGCGCGTGATGCTGCGGTCCGTTGTCGGTTAGATGAGATCCTGGAGGTCGCTGTAGAACCTCTGTCGCCAATCGCAGTCGCGCTTGGCATGCGGGGCACATGCCGGCAAGAGCGTCAACACGCCCCCGTGGAGGCGCAGACAAAGCGCGGCCAAGCGATAACTACGCGCTGCAAATGCGACCACGGACGGGCGCACACGAGGCGACGCCAAGAAACCAGCGCCCGCCCACGGACGCGCCCGAGGATCCATCTCGCCAGAAAGAAATATCAAGAAACCGTCCTGGTCGTAGTATTAACCCCATGACGTGCGTCTCCTGAATGCATAAAATGCCTATTCCCTGTCGTTGCATCACACGTTGAAGTTCCGCTAGCTTGATGGCGGAGTCGCCCCGTGGCCATTCAATGTTCCAAATGCCAGTGCGCTTCAAGCAACGGGGGCGGGGGGGCCTCCGAGGGCCCCCCCGCGACTGGCCGCCAGAAGAATGAAATGCGCTCGCTTCTCTGCGTCATTCTCGACGGTCGGGCCTGCGGTCTTGGAGCCAGGCGTTCCCGGAGCGCACGCATACGCACGAGATGTTCGCAAGGTCGTGGAGCCACTTCTGAGGCGATATGAGCCCCCAGGCGCCGGTGAAACTTGATTGGACGCTTCCTATCCTCCGGAACGCCGCCCGGTCTTGGCCCACCCCATCGGCGACACCATTGGCCCCGCCTTTTCCGCCTGCAGACGCCCCGGCAATCAGCCCATCGCGCTTGCTCGGGAGATCCACGATCAGCGGGTCGCCATGGAGGTCGCGCCACGTGGCCCACCCCCCCTGCCAGTCGCACTCCAGCGCGCAGTCCAAGACTTCAGCTGTCAGCGCGCGCCCCCCGCCGACTGCGACCACATGGGGGGGCTCATCCGCGACGCCGATGGCGCGCGGGATCCTCCACCCACGCTCGAGAACGCGCTTCAGGCCGAAGCAGAAGTTCCGGGCTGCGCGCCCGATAAGGGGGCGGTCTTGGTTGGCCCGCACCTGCGCGGCGCCGCTTTGCAGCCCGGCACTGCGGAGGAGTTCCACGGAGAGGTCGCGGGCCCCAGGGCCCGATTATTCAGCGGAGACGACGCCGTTGGGGCCCCCCTTGGCGTAGATCTTGAAAAGGCCCGGACCGCCCGCGGCAGCGGCTTCCTCTCGCAACCAAGCCGTAGCCGAGATTAAATCAGAGAGGCCGTCCAGGTTGCCAATGACTGCCGCGACCATGCGCTCGTCGACATGGGCCCCCCTCATTCCCGGGTGAGTCGACTGGGCTGCCTTGCCCTGCGGATGTCGCGGTTGCTTCGCCATGCACGCCTGGGTGCGCTCGCGAATCTCGCCCTCCAAGGCGTCGCTGCCGAGGTTGGCGCCCCCGCCAGTCCCCCCGCGCAAGCGCTCGCGCTTTGCCGCCCTCACGCCCGCCATGCTCACGCGCTTCTCGAGCGAGCCCAGACTCTCCGATCAAGTGGCGCTCAGGTCCGCGACGTCGCCACCCATTCTTCGCATTGTCCACCGCAGAAGTCGCCGGGGAGAGTTGCAGACGGAGCTGCCCCTGCAATAAGGCAAAAACGCATGCCATCGCGACCTGCTCACCCGCGTCACCCTGCGCTGCGCCTTCGAAGTCCGGCCGCTGCATTGGGGGCGGGATCGGTCATTCGCCCTCGTCGTCGCCCATCGGGGCGTAGCCCCAAAGCGGTTCCTCTAATGGGGAACCAGACCCGCGCCCCGCCCGCGGCTTCTTGCACTCGCGCATCCTCTCGAACGGGCTCGCGACGAGGCCGCCGACGGGGGGCGCCTGCCACGCGGGCACGACGAGCGGCGGAGGCGGGGGAAGACATCGCGCCCCCCGAAGAAAACATCAAGAAGCACGAGGCACGGGCACGTAAAATCGCCGCCGTCGGCGCGGCGGAAACCTCGAGCCACCCGACTGATCATGGAAATTCCGCGCGAGAACTACTTGAACATCCGACTGATCATGGCATTCCGAAGGCAAGCGCACGGGCAAGAGCAAACGAACGGGGGGAATGCGCCACAGCCAAGAGGCGACCCCCAAGAGGGGCCGTCGGCAGAGAATAACCCAAAACAGCGCACTACGCTTGCGCCCAATGAAGGGCACAAAAAAGAAGAGCCCCAAGCGGGGGCGCCCTTGTACTAGAGTTTGGCTGCTTTGACAATGAAAGTAAGCAAACAACTTACTGGGATTGTACACAGCATTCTCGATGTTCGTCGCATCTCGATTTGGGAGCGGAGGAAGATCTAGCTAGCGCCGGCGCGCCAGCGGGCATCTCATGCACGCGCGCGAGCAAGCGCGCGAAGGGAGCACGGCGCGCAAAGATCGCATGGCCAGGGCCGATCGCTTAGATTCCCAGGCGCGGGCCAAGAATGCACAAGATCGGGCGGGGATCGGCCGCCGTCAATTTCGCCTTCCTCGCATCGTTCCCCTCGGTTACCCGTCGCGCGCGGCTCTGCGCGCGCGACGGTTGCAGCCATTGCGCCATTGCCGCGCTGAAACCACCTGGCACTTCTCGGGAAGCCAGGGCCTCAGACGCAACTAACCCCACATGAAATCCTGGCGGCTTCAATGATTGGCCCCGCCAACTCGATCATCGCGGCCACCTCGGAGCCCAGACGAGCGAAGACGTCTCAAGAGACACAGGGTGGGCCACCCCAACCCTGGCGATCGCGGAGCCCAAATGCGCCAAGGCGTTTCAGGCGAAACGGGCCAGACCAATTCAATTCGGGCCATGTCGAAGCCACTCCGGGGCCTCGAACTGCTAGCTAAGGCGAAACGGGACGGCCCACCTGTCACGCGGCGCCTGGGCGCGCAGAATTGCGGGAGCGTCGCAGGCAAAACAGGCCAGGCCACCTCTCGCGCGGCATCTCGGAGCCCAGAGGTGCGAAGAAGTCTATGACGAAGTGGGCAAGGCCACCCCAACCCCAGCCATTTCGGAACTCACAAGTGCGCAGGTGCCCCAGGAAAAACAGGCCAACAAGAGGCCCGCAACAAGCAAACAAGAAGCCATTAAGAAGCCCCACAAAAGCTAAGATGCATCCAGGAGCCGCACAGGGCCCTTGAGAGGCACCCCAGGAAACACTCATATGACTCCAGGTGTCTCCTAACCCGTAGCCCAGGCACGGTGGCGGGTTGGCCCGAAAGTGACCCGGCAACTTCCCACGCGACGACACAGGGCCAACAGCGGGGGACTGTAACCCGCTGCGGCCAGGCGCGGCGATGGCCAAGGTGAACACAGGGCCGCACCAGGGGGGGGCGAGAGCAGAGAGCGCGAGGGGGGGGAACGGACGGGGGCGGTCGGGAATCGGCGGCACGCTGCCCTGAAGTCGCGCGCGGCTGAACCGACTGGGTCTCGGCTGTTCGCCTCGTCCGAAACAGGGCGGACAGGGGGCGGGATTTTCACGACCATCGGCGCAGGCTGTCTGTCCTCCCGCCGCACCGTCGATCGGTCGGGGGGGGTGGGCTGCGAGACCCGCTGTCAATGCCTGCGCTGTGGCTGACAGCTGTCTCTCCTGGCCCAGTACTCGCGCCTCGCTGCAGGGAGGTGCAAGGAAGGGCGGCAACCCTGTCGCCGCGGCGCAGCGCGCTTCTGGCCTAACGGGCCCTGCTTCACTTGGCGAGGACGCTGAGACCGAGCCTCCGTCTCCCTCCGGCCTGACGGGCCCTGCCTCTCCTCGTGAGGTCTGCTGGCCACCAGGGTTGCCCGCGCGGGCGTCAGGGTTCGGACTTCGGACACCAAGGGTGCCTCGATCGCCTGCAGGAGGAAGGGGGGGGGTCTGTCGCTCCACTTCCTTCCGGCCTAGCGGGCCCTGTTCCTCTTGGTGAGACCGGTGACGCGGTGTTCCCGCTCCTTTCTGACCTAACGGGCACTGCCTCCTCTTGAGGAATCTGATGACCACCAGGGTTGTCCGCAAGGACGTCAGGACTTGGACGTCGGATGCAAGGAGTGCCTCGTTCGCCTGCGAGAGGACGGGATGGGACTGCCGCTCGGCTTCCTTCTGGCCCACCGGGCCCTGCTTCTCGTTGTAAGACCGGTGAGAGCGCCATTCCGCCTTCATCTGGCCTAACGGGCCCTTTCTCCTTGCACGGTCTGCCGGCCACCAGGGGTGCACCCTTGGACGTCAGAACGCGGAGGTCGGACGCCATGGGCGCCTCGTTCGCCGGGGAGGAAATTGGGAGAGTATGTCATTCAGCTTTCTTCTGGCCTAACGGGCCCTGTTCATCCTGTTGAGACGGATGAGGCTGTCGCCCCCCTTCCTCCTGTGAGCTCCGGCGGCCGCCAGGGTTGTCCACGTGGGCGCGAGGACTCGGACATCGGGCGCAGAGGGCGCCTCGTTCGCCAGAGATAGGATGGGGCGCGGCTGTCGCTCCGCTAGCGGGGTTGCTTTGTTTTGATTGGCGGCTCCAAGGACAGCCCCAAAGAGCGGGGCGGTCTCGGCTGGGGCACAGGGCGAGATAATTAGCGGCAACGGCGCATAGGCCGCAGCAGCGGGTGCACGTGCCAGGGACAAAATGCCCCTCATTAAGACGCATGCGACCCGGAACCGGGACGCAGCCATCAAAACGGAAACTGACGGAGAGAAGTCGCACAAGTAGCGCCAGCTCGGACCGTACCGAACAGCGCGCAAGGGCGTGGATCACGCCGCGCTGCGGCGGCACGGAGGGGCCGGGGTGGCCGCACCGCCCAACGCGACGAGGAGGCGAAGGAACTGGAAAGGCACGGCGGGCGCGAGGCGAGGACAGGAGAAGGGGGGAACCGAAGGAGGCCTCGCTCACATGGACTCATAGGAAGTACTTGGGCATGAGCGACCGACCTATGCACGGAAACTGCGGCCCTGTCTTCTGAGTCCACGACCTGCAACTTGCCTGACTCTGAAAGTCGGGGGGGCACAGCTGCAAGCACTGGTCGAGTACCCCGGACCACCCTGCGGGAGGGCCGAGATGAACTGCCAAAGTATATACCACTTGTGCAGTAGCAAGAACTCGAAGGCGGCGCCCGCCGTGGGAAGCGAGTCGCCCACGTCGCCGGCGCACAACGCGGGCAACTTATCCGTCACGGGGGACGGGGGCGCAAAGTTGCGAGCGCCAGCCGAGGTAGCAGGGGCGGACCTGCTGGGGGAACAGCGGTGACCTGCCAAAGGATGAACCACTTGCCAGGACAGCGCTCACCTCAGGTCCGGCCTCAAGCGGTGCCGGAGCGGGGAGGCGCGCAGGTCTGCGCCTTGCCGAAGCCCAGCACCTGGAGCGCCGCGAACCAAACCTAGGCCACGCGGGCGATCCGCGCCCGCTCCAGGGGCTGGAGGAGCCCGTGCCTGCGGGGAAAGACTGCCTCTGACCCTGGCTCTCCAGATCATACTCGGCAGCCGCTGCTGCCCGCATGCACCTCGGAGCCCTGCCAGCGAACCTCCAGGTGCCCGTGGATGTCCGAGTGCTCCGGTGGATCTGGTTGGCAGGGGGGAATTCGAGCGGCACTGCGCGCCGTAACAGCACAAGAGGAGGAGGAGGAGGGGAGACGCAGCCGAGAGCCGCACAATCCGGCGAATTGAAGGAGGAGAAGGAAAAGGCAACACCAATGTCGATGCTGTGTGGTCGGAGTCGCCTCTGTGATCCCTCCACCGCTCCCTGCGGAGGGTCTTCAGTGGCCGCGGGGGGAACAACACGCCAGACCTCTGATGGGGGACTGCGCTGTCACTTGCCAAGAGCAGCACAGCCTGGAGAATGCGCGTGAGGTGTTACCACGTGACGTGGCACGACGGACGTGACCAAGGCCTCCAAACTTGGGATGGCCCGTCGCACTGCAGCATACCCAGGCGGGGCACACTTGGACGGGGGCGCAGCAAGAGCCGCACAACCTGATGAGTGGTAACGTAAGGTGGAGCGCTGGAAGTGGGCCTCTGGCCAACATTCCCAGCCATCCAAAGTGGGTGCCCCGAAGGGGGGGACATTGACGGCCCCCTGTTCCGTGGGCAGTCAGGTCTAAGGGGGGACACGGGGGGGTGGATTATTTCAGCCACCGCCCCACTGTCCAGGATGGAACCACGAGACCAGCGCGGGCTGTCTAGTACGCAGCGCATGGGTATTGGTGCACCTCAGCCCCATAAGCGGTAGCACGGGGGTACTAAGGCCAAGGCCTGGCGCTGCGGTGAAACCTGCCCCCATCAAGGTCAGGAGCAACCACGAGGAAAGCTTGACCGTGGGGGACTGACACCTCGCATTGTCCTCAGTCCCCAATCACTGCGTCGCTGTGCGAGGCAAAGGGCCGGTTGAGGACCATGGGGCTGCCAACCCAGCGGGCTCCGCCCGGCGCTGCGGGGTCCCAGATGGCCCACAGGGTCAGCGCGACAGAGACCACCTTGTAGAGGGAGGGGGAGGTTGTTCCCAGCTGCCCAAGATCATTATTGTCCAGGAAGCACGCGTTGCGTTCCATGACGGGCCGCGTAGCAAATCTGAGAATCGACATGTTCTGGTAGACCAAATATGGTTTGAGCCACAGACAGGCCGGTGGGGTTACGCGATGCGTCTAGAATTTATCCGAGCGTCTTCACATCGCGAAATCGGCGTTGTCGTTTCATCTTCGGATGGCTCGCCGCCACTGGCGGTAGGGAGCCCATCCTGGCCAGGAGGGAGGGTCCGAGAAGTCACCTTGGCCTCCGGACCACGAGCTCTACCACCAGCCGCCCCAGCTCTGGTCCCAGGAGTGGAGGCGGTCCCACTTCTGGTCGTCCTTGAGCTCGCCGCCCTGCTTGTCAGCCGCCTGCCACCAACGGTCGACTCCTGCTGCCTCGTTCTTCTGGTGGTCGGCCGACTGTCCGTGTCCACTGCTCCATGGGTCAAACCCACGACTTCCCCACGGGTCTGCAACGGCCGCCAGTGATGACAGTGGTGGCTGGTGCTGTTGTCTTGGTCAGCACCTCTTGGTCGATACCCGCTGTCGATCATGGCGCTGCTGATGTTGCTGCTGGGGCCGAGGCACTGCCGGCCTCTGGCCCCCACGTCGCAATTCCTGTGAGCAGTTGTTCCTGCCGATGTTATCCGTCGTCTGCGGGCATCTGCCGTGGATCCCACGCCGCTCAGCGGTCAGAGCGAAGCCTGGCCTCGAAGCGCACGAACGCAGAGCGACTGGGCCGTCACAGCCGTGCGTTCTCGCCAGTGGCCCAGGCCTGACCCCGCTCCGCTACCAACTGTGGCAGCAGGAGAAGAGACAGAGCGTTTTCCCTTGAGCCACAGTGGAAGCGGAACGCACACAAGATAGATCTCTGACCATCTGTCCCTGGAGTGAAACACAAAAGCTAAACCTATCGAAGAAATATGGTCCCCTGGAACACCCCGTCGCGCACACCCTCGGCAGCTGATGTGGTCAAGCAATTGCTGTTTAGCACTTCCGTTTCCTCCTCCTCCTCCTCCTCCTGCTCCTCCTCCTCCTCCTCCTCCTCCTCCTCCTCCTCCTTCCCCCCCCGCTCCCCCACGAAGGGGGGCTCTGGACCTCCTGGCGGGTGTACCGAAGTGCCTCCTGCAGGAGATGCTACGCGTGCGAATTGTACAAAGGAGCGCCGTCCCAACCTGGAGCCTGAAACGGCTCGTCGAGAAAAGTCGTTCTCACCGTCGTCGTCGCCGCCGCCGCCGCCGCCGACGCCACCGTCATCGTCGCCGTCGTCTTCGACGTCGCCGCCGCCGCCACCACTCCAGCTGTCGCAGCCGCCGCCACCGTCGTAGCCGTCGTCGTCTGCTCCTCATCCTCCTACTCCTCCTCCTCCTCCACCTCCGAGCTACACCTCCTCCGCCTTAGAGGTCGTCCGCATGCGATCAAAGTTGATGTCCATAGTAAACAAGTCTGCGTGATGGAAAGATGTTAGCCAGCGTGAACCCCAAACGATGAGCTCTCTAGCTTAATAGGTTATGCAACCGATGCGATGCAAGCTGCGTGGTGCAAGCTAAGTACAGCAACCTGTGTGGCTCACAATATCTGTGAGTTTACGAGCGCAGTGAGTAGTGCTGCGTGGTCTGCACTTTGGCCTAAGGTAAGGTCTGCACTCTAGGGGGTCTAGGCTTGCACTTTGGCCGTACTGACCTTTCCTCACAAAAGCTGGTTTTCGCTCTTCTGGTCGATCCCGCCAGACGGCGAGATTAGCTATACTGGCCTGGCATATGCAACCCGTGGACGTGATTATTATCGCAGACTGAAAGTTGAAGATTAGAGTCCAAAGATTTGCAGCTGCGCAGTGAGGCTACTGCATCATCGCCAGGTGTCAGGGACCATGTCAATCTTCATCTTCGGTGTGGCACTCTGCAAGCCAATCAGCAGAACGCAGCGGATCGTGTCGCTTCGCAGTCGCACGCGCATACCAAAGCGGGTGCCTCCATTGCTTCACAGAACTCGTTGTTACAGTCCCCGACGAGGCTGCGACGAGATGTATGCACCGTACTGCTCGTCTCCTTGTCATGGCTGTCGCCAAGCCGCCCGCCTTGTTGCTTGCGTGCCTTGGGCCTCCTCGCGCCTCACTGCTGGGTGCCCCCCTTCGCTTCGGAGAGGGGGCGGGCGGGCGGGGTCGAGCACTCTGGCCCTGGGGAAACGCCTCCTCCCCTACTCATCCTTCCGCCTCCTCCTCGTTCTCCCCAGGCGGCTCGAAGACCGGGAGTGCCCGGGGGCGACACTGCCCGACCCCCACAAAGAGGTCACGCCGCGAGCGTGGCCCGGAAGCCGCCCTCCAGCTCGGCGCGGTCCAGGTTCCGGCCGATGAAGACCATCCTGTTCCTCCTGCTAGCGGCGCTCACACTCCCCATGAAGGAGAGGTGCCCTGAGATAAACGGGTCCTGAAGGCTTTGGGCTGTTTTCGGCCTCCCGGGACCCTCCACTGGCCTCGGGATCGTCAAAAAGCGACTCAGGAGAAGACCCCGCGGTCGGGGGCCCGTTTCCTCAGAACCCCTTTCCTCCATGGGGAGCATATGGAGGCCGCCTCCATGGGACCAGAGAGTAGACGGGGTCGGCGGATCGCCCTGCATCGCATGTGCATTCTCGACGCAGGGCATCGGGATGGAGAAAATCGAACTCTTGATCGCGCCGCATGGCCGATGCCGCCAACACCATCAACGCTGGCCCGTACATGGAGGCAACTCCTGGGAAGTCTTCGTGGGAACGATTCTTTGGTGTCGGCTCCATGGGAGCCTGCGTGGCCCCCGGCGCTGTCCAATTCGGGCCTGATTTGGACCGGATTAGGAACAAATTTCAACTGGATTTGGACCAGATTTGGACCGGATTCGCGGGGACCAGGAGAACGAGGAGGGGGAGGGGGAACAGGAGGGGAGAGGAGGAGCAGGAGGATGGGCCAAATGTGGTCCCCACGCGGTCCAAATGCTGGAATAGCTGATTTCAGTGTCGCCGCCCACGACTCCCATGAGCAGACATCGACAGATTCAGGGCTAACAAGCCCGATCAAAAGGCCACGGTGGGCCAATCTGGGCCAAGCTAAATCCAGGATTCAGCCGAGTTTCAGCCAGTTCAAGCGGGAGTAAACCAGGCTAGGCAGGACTAGGCCGTGCTTCTCGACCCCCGACATACCAGCGCCCTGGACTCAAGGACCCAGGAGTAGCATCCCAACGCAGGGAGGCGGGGCGAGGGAGGCGGCCTCCGAAGACGGGGGGGGACGCAAGACTCGCGCGTTGGGACTCGCATTTGCCTGACGGGGTCGTCAGAATCGTGGCGGGACCGAGTCTGAGCTTTGACGCGAGCTTCCGCTGCAGACATCCCACGGCAACTGGACCGCCTAACCCGTGCCAGGACCTGCAAGCTGCGACAGCAGAGGCGAGCTCGAGTCTTGCGTTTCACCGATAAGGAGCCTGGGAGGCTTCGTAGAAGGCAAGGCCCTCTCAGAAGGGCCCCCCCCCGCTTCCAAGGAGCCCTCTTTTGGAAGCTCGGGGCCCTTTTGAGAAACTTCTACCGCCTAAATCAGCCCCCCGCCTTCTTAGAAGGCTGGCCCCCTCCCTCGCGCCACTTCGTCGTGCGCGCCGCCTGTCCTGGGCTGCCCTTCCTTCCACTCTCCCTGCGGCTGGCCACCGAAGATCATGTGGATGCCCTGGAAGACGAACGGGCTCTGGCAGCCCCTCACGGCGAGCACCCCCTTCGTTCGGAAGATGTCGGCCCCTTTCTCTTTAAGCAGCGCGGCGATCCATTGATTCAGCCTCGCAAGGTCGCACTCGCCCTCGCAGTCGATGCCGACAGAACTTACTGACGAATCGTGCTGGTGGTCCTGGTCGTCCCTCAGGAACTCGGAGTCGGCCTCGAGAACCCGGTCTAGCGAGAAGCCACGTATGCTCGGGTGCGCCGAAGAGGGGGGGGCAAGAAGAGGGAGGTTAGCGTATCATGACCCGTTGTGCCCCAGCCGAGTCCGTCCTGCTCCCTGGAGCTGTCCTTGGAGCCGCCAATCAAAAAAGTATCATGACCCGAGGCATTTGTGCGGACAGGGGGGGAACGTGTTCAAAGGAGAGGGGGCCATGACATCGGTGAGATCCACACATCTCCAATCCCTAGTCCGCAACCCCCTCTTGTACGCCCCCGATATGCCTATGATGCTGTCCAGATCAACCACAGACTGCTGGGTGCGCACGACGGGTGCCACGAGGTTAATCTTTCGAATCTCGGCCTCGACTTCTGCTAGCGTTCCCTGGTCGACCAGGTCCGTCTTGTTTAGCAGGATCCTGTCCGCAAAGGCCACCTGCTCGATAGCCTCGTTCTCAACGCCCTCGGGTTTCTCCTCTCGGAGGTGCTGGAGGGCGTGCTTGGCATCCACAACAGTGATGATACCGTCCAGCACCATTCTTGCCTGGATGTAGTCGTCCGCGAAGAAAGTTTGGGCGACAGGGGCGGGGTCTGCCAACCCTGTGGTCTCGATGATGACCCCGTCAAGCTGTTTGCCGTCTTCCGCGACCCGCCTCAGAATGCCCTTGAGCCCGTTGATGAGGTCCCCTCGCACGGTGCAGCAGATACAGCCGTTGTTCATCTCGATGATCTGCTCGACCCCCAGCTCATCTCGATCTGTTCTCGAGGCGATCAGCGCATCATCGACGCCCACCTCGCCGAACTCGTTCTCGATCACCGCGAATACCTTTCCGTGCGAGCCGCGGAGGATGTGGTTGAGCAGAGTGGTCTTGCCACTCCCCAAGAAGCCCGTGAGTATGTGGGCCGGGACCTTGCCCTGCGCCTCCACGCGGTCCTTCTCTCGGAAGCCCTCATCCTGGGCCTCCTGGAGCCGCCGGCACTCCTCTTGCAGATCCATCGCTAGAATAGCAAACAACGGCATAGACCACAGACACTAAAGTTCGGAGGCCCATGCCGAGTTCTTCGGTCGAAGCTGGACCCCTCCCCACAACCCCTTCCCTGGCGCGCGGAGCGCGCCTGGGGCGGCACCAGAAGCGTCGCCAAGAATGGTGGGCAGGAGGGTCCAACGCCGACCCAAGAAATACGCGTGGACCTCCGAAGTTCGTGCTTCCCCAGGCTTCACTTCTGAGCCTATTCGGCGTCTGAGTCCGTTCGGCCGCCGGACGAGCCCGCGATCAAGCCCATTCAACTCCCACTATGGCATCTGGATGGGGGCCCGTTCGGCTGCACATTCGGCGGCCGGCTGGGCTCAAAGGGAACCCTGGGGTTGTGCCTCATTTCGCCGTTCTAGATCACCCTCCCGTCACCAGGCGCCAACGCCGCGGCGGCCGCAAGCTCCGCGGCGCTGCGCCGAAGCCCCCCGAGACTCATCAGGATGTCCGCCCGGGACGCGTACCTCCCGGCTTGGGGATCAAAACTCGCACTGCCGTCCTGCCCAGGGGTGATTTCTTCGTGAGCGTCCAAGATGGGGGCGTCCAAGGGGGGGGGGGCGCAAATCATGGCCCGAGGCACGCGCGCGGCCAGGGGCGGGGGGCAAAGGACATGTGAAAATTCGTGGGCCCAACGAGCCAGAAGCGTCTTAAGGTCTCCAGCAACAGATTAGAAACTTGCCGAGGGGCCCCAAGGGAGCTCCATGATGTCATTCGACTCGGGGTCAATTGGTGGCAGGTTCCAGAATGGCCTCCATACGCTCCTGAACAATTTCACAATGATGGACAAACTCAGCTCCAAGACGCCTCCAACCCGCTAAAAAAAAATTGATTTGTACGTTGGTGTTTGAAAGATATTGCGTTACCGCGTGTTCAATCTTCCGACCTCCAAGGACAGCCCAGGCAGCCTGCAAGATTGCCACTATCCACAGTAAGAGGCCATAGAAACAGACAAGTGACGGCCCAAGAAGGCCCCAAGACGGCCTCGCGGGCCTCCCAGGAAGCTTCCGAAACCTCCACAAGGGTCCGAAGAGGGGGAGCCCGAACTGAAATGTCGAGATCTTTCGTGACAAATGGCCCCCTCACTGCCAGTGAGCTTCCAAGAAGGCCCCAAGAGACCTCCAAGAGTGCCCCAAGAGCCCCCAAGGGACCCCCAAGAGGCCCCAAGGATGCTACAATGATCCCCCAAGGGGCTCCCAAAACAGCCCAAGAGGTCTCAAGGGGAGCGCAGAAGGGGCCCAAGAGATGGGGCACGAGCAGCCAGTTCGAGTCCTCTGCCCCGAGACACCCATGACTCCTCACGAAACACCTCGACGAAACGACCACCACCCAGCAGCGCAGCAATGGCAACGAACATGCGGGAAATGCCCTTGATGGAGTAGCCACGGCTGGCGGATTGAGCAAAGACGCTATGTTTCGGCGGGCCCCGCGCGGGCCTTCGCAGAGTTGTAGACTTCGGGGGGGTAGACAAGGATGACGATGATGCAAATGATGATGGTCATGCTGATGGTGAGGGGGCGACGATAAGAATGATGCAATCGGTGGTGGCGATGATACACATGGTGATGGAGATGGCGATGATGATGATGATTATGGTGATGATTAGGATGGTGGCGATGATGATGCTGGTGATGATAATGGTGGTGATGGTGGCGGTGATGGCGATGGTGGTGGCAACGACGACGATGTGATGAATGTGATGGTGGTGATTCGTGATGGTGTGATGGGGATTGTGGTGATGTTGGTGATTATGCTCAGGATGATATAACGAGAACGCAACAGTACGCGCGGGACCCTGCGCGAGAAACCTGGATAATGCCAGCGCAACTATGTTTCCGATGGGAAGCCAACACTGCACGCGACAGCAAGAAGCGACAGTACATGACCACAGCTGAAATAAACCACCAAGAAGTCATGTATTGGTACACCGACTGGAAGAAAAAACTACTCCACCAACAGAGAAACTGAATTATAACTCAACTTAGTACGTTACCATCGCGATTCACCCAAGAATGCAACCGACACTACACATGCGCACCCCGCTTCACCAACTCCGAAGACTTGGATCGCGGATCGCGCGTCCCATTGCAAAAACGGGAACAAACCAAACCGTTAACAGGATGTCAGCAACCGCTATGATACCCATGTATAGCATCAATGTCTACCCGCGGCAAAGGCGCATCACGACACCGCAAACGCTTTCGGCCGAGCTCGTCCCCGAACAGGTCCACGGCAAGAGCGGCGGCCGAACGGCGAGAACCATGATGCCACAAGCACCTGCAGTGACCCATGGGAGGCCACCTCGAATTCACACACTGAAGCGCAGATTCAGCCTGGGACATACGAACACGCTCTGCACGAGACGTCCTCTCATGCACCTGGAAGCAAGATCCTTAATGCGTGGCACGACGCGTCCTCATGTGCGGCACGTTGAAAAATTGGTTCCTGCAGGCAAAACGCATCGCCTCAATACTGAAGAGCACCAAGAAGGTCGGAATGGATGGCAGCGAGGATTTCGAGCTCGTCCGGGGAACACCGAACCGCCACGCTTTCCGAGGCGGCGGAGTAGCAAGAGCGTGCCCAACTGGTCCGTCAGAGTCGTCGCCACCCCAGCGTTCATCGCGTTTGCGGCGCCTGTCTCCATCTCCAGCCCCACGGCCGTCAGAAAAAATCATCGTCACCACCGACGCGATCGCTGCCATCTCCTGCACTGCCCAGCGAGCGCAAAGAGAAATCAACCCAAACAGAAACAACAGAGAGCCCTGCAGAATGCGCATGACAACGATCCGCTACACAGCAAGTGCAAGCAAGTTCCCGAAGCTGCGCGAAGCGCGGCCGCAAGCCCAACTCTAATGCATATCCAGCGGCACCTTCGGCGAGATCGTTCAATGCGACATCGAATTTCGCATTCCAGAATCAGCACCACAACTTCTAAACGAAGCGCATGCAACGGCCATGTTCAAGTTGACGAGAATGCCAACCAATGCGCCCCACAGCCGACATGGCAGAGGGACGAGACAAGAAAACCCACATGAAAGGAAAAAGCCACCCCTTCAGCAATCCCTAATCAAAACGGAGATGAAAATGACGATGGCGACGATGGCGCTCATGATGATGACACCCATTACTCATTCATCCCCCACGCGAGCTCTCGGCCTGCTTCCGGGGTAAGCACCTGCAGGGGGCCCCAGTTTTGAAGCGGAAAAAAAAACCTGATCGAACCAACCCGTCGTTCACTTCACCCCGTGGCCCCGCAACATTTCAGGCAAGCGCGCGAGCGCACAAGACAATCGATGAACGGGCAACCACATAGCAGCTGGAGCAGTGCAAAATCAATTTGCGCCGCCGAAAGCGTCGAGCAGGAGCGCGGGCGCGCCGCGACGATTGCTCCAGATAGTCAGAGCGATTAGTTCCCAGGCCATTTTACGCCACGGCGCAGAGGCCCACGAGAGCGACGTCACGCCGTAAGCAATTGAAGCCAACCCGAAAGCTTACCGGACACTCACGCGCGCCATTTGATCCGCGAGTACTGAAGGGAGGGCGACGGAGGGAGAGAGGAAGGGAGTGGGGCGCCGCACGAGGAAAACAAAGGGGGAGGGGGGGAGGGCCGAGGGGGGGGGGACGAGCCACGGGGGATAAGGGAAAGAGGAGCAACGACAACTGGATTGGACAGGGGGGCCGTCACTGGCAAGTCCCCTCAGCCCTCTGGGCGTCGGTGGTCTCACGGGCTCGTTATTCGAGTCCCCGTCTGCCCTTCTGGGAATGGGATCGCCACGCCTCGCATCCCTCCAGTTGAGTCTGGGCCAGAGTCTCGCGAAGTGTCAAGCTACTTCGGGGGGTTGCGACGGCACAACCATGGGCCCGGATAAGCCCAAGTACAGCCTCGATATCCTATCGACATCGCACAACGTGGATCAAGGTAGTTTCCAACGCGCTTCCAAGAGGCCCCAGTGCCACCATATAACAGCTCCAATTGGCCACGGAATACCGCAAGGACACCACCGAGAAGTCCCAACCATCCCCGATCCGAAATCGAGCCAGCGACGAGGTCCTCCTCGCCTTATTCGCTTCCGAATAACATTTGGAACCCAAGCGCGGCGCAAACATCGCCCAAGGGAGCCCCAGGAAAGGGCCGCGGTGGGTCAGGAACCCGCGGGGGCATCGCGGCGCAAGAAGCGAAAATGCGGCGCGTTTTCACCGTGGGGAATGCCCCAACGCGGGAGCCCGGGGCAACCTGCCAAGCCCCTTTTCTCCCTGCTCTCGCGACCCCAAGCCGCTCCCCTGCCCGCCCCCGCCCCCCCCCTACATCGCCGCCACTTGTTTCTTGCCCCTCTTTGCCGCCACTTGCCGAATACACACATGCCAATGTTGCGACGACTTCCACGAAGGCCAGAAAGTGCGCCAAAATGACACACATCTGACACGGCCGTTTCTGGCGCTCCACTCCGGTTGGTTCTCGGGGTTGTCTCGGGGCCCTCTCGAGGCCCCCAAGAACCTGCCAGGGGGGTTCAACATGGCCCCGGGGGGGGGCCCAAGGGGGGGGGCCCAAGAGCAAGCCGGAAAGGATCAGCTGAAATGGCAGTTGCAGATGCTCCACTAAGTCTAATTTTCGGGCACGTCTTGGCGCCCTCTCGCGGCCCCCGGAAACCGAATCGGGAATGTCAGAATCGCCCCGAAGGCGCCCTGGCACGGGACCCCAGCGGGCCCCACGAGCGAACTAAGAAAAAATTGTAACGGCCGTTCCAGATGCTCGAATGCGGTTGTCTATCGGAGCCGCCTCTGGGCATTTTGGAGCCCCCTCGTGACTTTCTCGAGGCCTCAGGATAGTTTCGAGAGACTCTTCGGGCGGGCACGAGGGCCTGATGAAGCGGAGCAACTGAGACGGCCATTTCGAATGCGGCCGCGCGTCGCGGGCTTTTGCCTGAGTCGGCTCGGATAGTTCCTGCTCATTCTGCTCGTCCTTGTCTGTTTCCTGCGAAAGAACAGCGAAGGCGCGCACTGGTTGCAATCCCTCCCTGTCCCGCTACGAAGACCCACGCTTCCTTGATCAAGGCAAGTCGCCAGGGAACTGTTTCTGAATGGGCTGGTGGTGATGAGCGAAGCGCCAATAAATGGGCAACGTAGCATTGCCAGGCGATTGTCTGCGCTCGCGCACTCATGCGTCGATCGACACGTTTCCCCCCGCGCCCCCCTCTAGAAAGCCGGGTGAAATATGGCAGTCACACAACTGCATTCTTAAGGCAAGAGTGGACAGCCCCAAACGACAAGGCAGGCGAGCACCTTCGAGTCGCCAACAGCCCAAAATAATCACATCAGTCGAATTGGACATCGGCCCACCTCGCCACGAGGACAATCCAACATAACGAAATTCACAGATCTCCATCCCCGCGCCTCGCCCTGCGGCCCCCCTGCAGACGCGCCCCCCGGCTTGCCCCGGGAACAACCCAGGCGAGCTCCTTGGCCAGCGCAAGATCCAGACACGGGACACGGGGGCTTCTATAACCTGGAACTTGGGCCCGTGGGCCCTGGCCCCCCTCGGCCAACGAAAGGATGTCTTCACTCGCCATGTGAGCACGAGCACAACCACTGATTTGGCACTCCATGGCAGAAGGCCGCTGAGCACAGCCCCCCTACGGGGCTAAGAAGCTCCAGGAAGGGAACATTGCTCGGGGCCTTCGAAGACTGAGGGCGCCGATCACGCAAGCGCCACTATCACGAGAGCGCCCACAGAGTTCGAGAACGCCCCCCCTCCGAGACAACTTCGACCCCCGAAATCTCCAGTCTGAAAGGCGAGAGAGGCCGGAGGAGCATGGAGAAGCGCGGGGGCGCGGAGAAGGGCGCAGCCGCTCTGACACCCGCAGAGGGCGCCGGCGCAGGCCGCGGCGCCGGCGCCGGCCCGCGCAAGCACCCCGACCCCATTGCCACAGCCACTAACCATAGGGACTGCAGGGGGAAGGGCACCTCAAAGATCGCGCGGCAACGCTGAAAATCAAATAGCAATTCGGGGGCTGGGCCCAGTACTCGCCTAGGTTCACAGGGCTCTGGATGACCGCCCGCACGCTCGGACCCTCGGGCGGACCGCTGGCATTCGCGGCGCCCCCCTGGGCCCTCAGGACACACGAATGGATTTCCACCGCCGCAGCGCGCAGCTCAGGGGGCGCGAAAACCTCGACGCGATGCATATCGTCGCGCCTACCCGCCTGGCAGAATCTCCTCTTCTGGTAGCGCGCGACAAATTTGTCCTCGCGATCTACCACGCTCTGGCCGGCCTGGGAGCACGCCGAAACACGGGCCTTCGCCCCTGCTAGGATCGCCCCGCCTTGCGCGATCGAAAGGCACAGCGCGACCCACGCGCGCCCACTTAATCTGCGCCAGCGTCTCCCGTTTGCCATCCTGCTCTTGCCGCTGCTTCGTTTCCTCGAACCGAACACCCAGCCCCCCCCCCCCCCATCATTGCCGCGAGCTGAGTGTGCCCCGGCCGAACCAGCGCCACAAGGATAGGGCAGTCCGCGAAGCGACGGGGCACCAGGTCGAGACCGACCACGGTCTTCGCCGGGTTCCACACCTAGCTGCGATACTCCTCGTCGAAGCTGACCCCCACTGCCCGCCTCGCCCCGGCCCCGCCGCCCCCCGCGCCCGGCGCGCCTGCTGCCGCCCTGGCGACCTGGCGCTGCATCGCCTCCATCTGGGCGGCCGTCGGAGATGGCGGGAACTGCCGGGTCGTCACATTCCGGAAACGACACCAAAAACCTCACAACCGCCCCGAAGCGCGGAACGCCCGCGGACGTGTCCGCGAAGGACGGGGCCGCCAGTGACCTCGCACTTTCCGAGGGGACAAACCGACGCTGGTCGCTGAAGCCACAAGAGCCCCGCCGACACACTGCCGCCACGACGTCTGGGACGCGCGAATCGCTTCAAGCGCACCTCGACGCGATGACGGGGCCTGTCGAGCGAGCTGAACATCCTGAAACACCATCTACATTGACTCCGAAACACTGCGAGCCAAAGAGGTGCGAGTCGTTAATGGGCACGTCGCTCATGACATTGCAGGGCACGCAGGGATGAAATACATGCGCACATGCTTCACCATCGAGGCACGCATAGCCACGCGGGCAAAACCGCGGCCCCGCAGGCACGGGGATTGCGCGCTCGCCCACACTCGCGCGGGCGCGCGCAGGCGGGTAGATCACGGCCAGGGCAGAGAAGCGAGGCATTCTCAAACAGAAACCTCGCGAAGTCACAGCCCCCTAATGAAAGCATCGAGAGCCTCGAACCAAACTCCAGTCAACCGCGCGCCCCCGATCCCTCCTCCGCTTCGCGACATGTCCACCAGTCTAGGTTGCGCCGCCCCCCTGAATGTCGAATCCATCGCTTCACGGTTGACTCCGCGCCGGCAGCGCGAATCGCGCGCTTGCCAAGAGAACCCTCGCACATGAAGTCGCGCGCGAATTCCTCATTTTGATCCCAAATCCGCGGCACACGCGACCGCGCTTTGAAGCCGGCGCCCCAAACTGCCAGCTTCTCCGCAGCCTGGCGGGCTTGAAAATTACCCGGCAAAAAACCGACTCGAGTTGCATCACCAACGAACGTCGCGGGCGAAGCATTGACGGTGTCAGCAGTGACGGGCTCGAGGACGTTGAAAACCTGAGACTCCTCCAGCCCCTCCGCGGTCTCGATGCAGGCCGGAGTTTTTGGGCCACGCGCACTGATGAATCGACGTCGCCGAAGCAGGACTGCTCGCGCCTGCGACAAATCTTGAACTGAATTGGGCGGTGCAAATTATGATCAGTATTACGACACCAGAAATGCACAATGATATGATTTGCCCTCGGGGCCCAGGAGGCGCTTGCTCCTTTGAGCCTTACACTCAGATGCCCCATTCCCCCTGGGCATAGGACTGACCCCGCTGACGCGCCAAATGTTCGGCGTTTCTCAATCGCGTCGTAGCCCCCGGAGAAAATGCAGAATCAGATCGCACGCGGGCCCTTCCGACGATGCCCCTGATCAGCCTCGGTGCGCCTGAAGATCATCAGCCAGATCTCCCGAGGAAAAAACCAGAAGGGCACTTGCTTACATGCTTTTCCTCTTGCGAAGGCCCGCGCCGCTGCCCCGAGGCCCCCGAAAGCTCCGGCGCGTTAACCCACGAATTGCTGCAATTGAATCCACCCGGCCTCGCACAAGGTCGGCGCCGGCCTCGGCGGCGGCGCTGGTCCGAGGAGCTACTTCAGTTCCAGTGCCACCGACACTGGCTGCGCCAGCACCTGAAGAGAAAGTTGCATATCTCTGCGCTTATACAGCCTACGAATAGCCACGTGCATCATCACGAAGTATATACTGTGCAAGATTGGCGATTCCGATAGGCGATGTCGATAGCTTGTTCATCAGACCCTCGAAAAGACAACATTGCACACATGCCATCCTCTGCACCTGGAAATCCCATATAATCAGCCCACTCCTGACATGCGGGCAATTGCGCCGATATCACAAAGTACTTGCGCTTCTTGGGTCCGGGTTGCCAGTTCCCGACTCAGACTCCACCCCCACCCCAACCACACCCCACCCCCACACATCGATTATGCTCTTCTGCTCCAGCCAACTCCGCGGCCCAACTGCCCTGGGCGCTGCGAAAATCTCGTCGTCGCAATTCACGACGGCGTTTGATTACCTGAACAACTTCGGCAGCCAGACGCGCACCGCGTGCGCCATCGGCCGCGTGAAGCCGTCGGCACTGCCAAAGCTCAACACGTATGCCCTCGTGGCGCTGGTGGGTCGCCCGCGTGTACTCGGCGATGGAGTAAGGGCGACGGGCGCTGGGAGGCAGGCCTTTGCCATCCGCATCCGCAAGATCGAGCAGGAAGTATATACTGATGAAACAAAGGTTGTAGTGCACGGCGCCACCTCTGCCGCCCAGTCCAACAGGTGGTTACCTCCTCTGCACTACCCGATGGTTGGGGCGACCCTTCGGCTTACAGCAACCATCCATCCCGCGGAAATGTTGGTGCCAGTGCGGCGAGTCACTGCTCTCCCTGCGGCCTTGATCACACCTGCCAACATTTTGCCAAACTCTTCTTCAATTCAAATTAATTGCCCTGCGAACTGACAAGGCGGATCTGGAAAAAAATGTTTCACGTCTGACATGTTCCCGGCAATGAAACAAATTGTGCTGAAGTACAATGCGCCAAAACGTCCGTCAGGTTACGACGTACAAGCAGAGATTGTGTACTGTATAAGATACATCGCAACGTCCATTCAGCTGCACCAGTTCTACCCGACGTGAGCGGCCAAGTCATCGACCCTCGTCTTCGAGGATGAGAAATCATGATTCGTAGGGTTAGTTTGTCTGAGATGTCCCGCCCGACCGAGCAGGTATAACGAAGGATCTAGGCAAAACGGCAGCGTTATGATGATGATGCTGATGATGATGATGATGATGATGATGATGGTGATGGTGATGGTGATGGTGATGGTGATGGTGATGATGATGATGATGATGATGATGATGATGATGATGATGATGATGATGGTGATGGTGCTGCTGATGTTTATGATGACGATGATGATGACGACGACGACGATGGTAATGATTATTAATATCATTGTCGTTATGGCTTTGCTGAAACGAAAGATGATAATATCGGCATGCATTATGCATGCTAAGAGGGGCTTCGCTCATTTCAAAGGGCAGGGCTGTATCGCAGCTCCTGGGGCACGTAAGGTTACGTGTGATCTGCGCACAAAGGGCTACGAAAGTCTTGTTTCCGCGCACCCGTCACACATTACCTGTCTGACATTACCCTGGGACACGTAGAAATACAAATGATTTGCCCTCGCAGGGCCACGAAAGCTTCAATTCTGCGAAACATTGCAACGATTGGTTCTGACCTTCGTCGAGGCAAAATCCCTAACACCACTGGTTGCAAATCTGCGTGCGAGCTTCACCCAGGTAACCTGCCGTGACTCCCGCTCTGCGGGCTCGGGCTCTGCGGGCTCAATCCGGGAAGATTGCATGGCCCCGTCAATGACGTGCACCCCGTAGTCATCACTCCCCTCTTCGACGCCCTCGCTTTCTGGCCTGAATTTCAGTCGAGAGTCCAGCCGCTGCGACTAAAATGCCCCAGGACGCCCGAAAGCGCTCCAAGGCGTCGAACCTCGACCCTCGACTCTGAGGGCACAGGGCGGCCAGCGCGCGGGCGGACTCCGCGGGAAGCGACGCGCTGGCCCCCTGCACGAACCGCGCTGGCTCCGTCAGCAGCAGGCCAGGGTCTCCGGCTGGCGCTGGCGCGAGCCCACGCTCAAAGGCCTGCAGGGGCGCTCGCGGAGAGGTCACGGCGAGGCGGGGGGGATGTCGCCGTCGTGGCAACTGTGGGTCGTTTGTCGGGCCGGGGCTCCATCGGAAGACGGCCTGGGACGAAAGGGGGCCCGCCTTTCATCCCTGCTCCCAACGCTCTCGACCCCTTTCCTGGGGGCCCTCCTGGGAAGGGGTCGAGAGCCCAGGGGCCCCACGACACGGGAAACTCGTGACGTCGGAAGTCTGCGCGCCAAAAGCCTCCAGGGCTGCGTTGATCAGCTGCACGGCCTCGAAGAAGCGCCCCGATGCACACGCGGCCTGCGCCTCCTCATGCTTCTGCCGCCACGGCTCGCCCTCGCACGCCTCGGCTCCGGGGGCCATCACGTCCGCCGCCCCCGGATGTCGACACACCCCTACGAGCCAAAA